GGCGGCAAATTTTGCGAATTGTATACGAAGTTTTATATTTCGGTAGAAAGTCAATGTTGATAGTTTCAAAGAGCTTCCGACCCTTGTTGAAATCCATAAATTAGGGAACGGCAATCACTCGTGAGAAGATCGCAAGTGTTCTTGTCCCCTGTCCGCCAACGTTTTTGTCTGGTCACCTTCCGGTGCACTTTGTACACCCTACCTGTGGGCCAAGAATCAATTTTTTGATTCGAAAGCAACCTCGGCTTACCATAATTCAGTGCTTGTCTGCATTGACTTCTGCGCATGCAGTCACTTGCACCGAGCAACTTTCGTTTAAATCGTTCCGCCGCTGGGGGTGGCTTCTGACTCTGGACTACCAGCTGCAGGCCCTAGTCGGAAAGAGGCTCCTGGTGTGGACCAGGAATGCGGGAGAGCATCTAGCAGCTGACTGTACCGATGTAGTACAGGCCGGCTCAGCCCGACGAAGAACGTTGATTTAAGCAAGGGGGTTTTTGTGAGCCTGGAGTTGCAGACACTGCAGAAGAATGCATTGTATGCAATCCATCTGTCCAATGGCATGATGGTGCTCTGCAGTGATTATGAGAAAAAGCAGGCAAGCCATAGAGGAGTGCCCGAACACAAAGGGAGGATGCAATGGATGAGATGGGTAGGTTATCTGAGTCTTTCGGCAACATTGGTGTTATCCTTATCCTTGATCTCTGGGGGTCCAACAGTATAGTCTGTGGTCAAATTAAACAAAATCCCTCAAGAAACCGGACGGCCATGCAAAGGGCCAGGTCTAAGAAAGTTGCGCAGTTTGAGCTGCTGGCAATCTGGGTATGACAGTGTATACTCCTCTGCCACAGGACGCATTCCAGACTCCCAGAGGGATCATAAAAGCCTTACCATTGTATAGTGAATACCATTATGGCCCGACAAGGCATGATCATGCGTGTTGCGCAAATCGGCCTCGAGGAGAGAAGTCGAAATGCACAAAAGGCGAAGTGCTCGCCTTAATAAGAACAGCAGCAGGCCATCCTGAGCACCAAAGCTCCATACTTTCGCCACTCTAAATTCTCTTCGGTGAAAGTGGCGGATGCGTGGATGTCACAAGCATACAACTCCCCCAACACCGATAAAACCTATGAAGTACCATAGACAAGTGTGCTTGCGTTGCACAAAAGTGAACTTTGAGTGTCCCGGGAGAGCGTCGGCAATTATGTTCTTGCCTTTGCTTTTCTTCCATTAAAGTCGTACTGCAGGAGGCACTCAAACCAGCGCACAACTCCAATGCTACCTAAGTCTTTACAACCTTTGTAGGTTGCATGAGACCAATTATTGGTTAGGGCAGCAAAATGGCGCGTACATAAGTAGTGCCGGTATTTTACCACTTCTCAACGCAACGCACGAAATTACTTCCACCGGTCGGCATGCCGGTGCTCGGCTTCGGTGAAGCGATGAGGATAGCAAGCGATACTTTGTCTTTTTTGGAAAAATCAAATTTGGCTAGCAACGAGAAGCTTTCACCGCTACGCCAGTAGCATTTGCTGAATGGAAGGAAAGACGCTAAGCACCGAGCAGCCGAAGTACCTGAGGAGTTGCAGGGCGGCCGATAAGCGTTCTTGCTGTGGCACCATCCTCCGGTGTAAAGGTCATAGACTGCGTTTCCTGAACTTACTTAAAGAAACGATGATCAGAGCAAAAGCAAGAAATCAAATTCTGGGAATACGATGCAGGCTTACAGGACTTCGCAGCGTTCTTGCTGGTGCTTTAGGGTAAAGCGCACGTCTGGATTGATTCGACTTTCGCAGGATCTGGTTCTATTCCTACAGCCGACGAGCAGAAACTCAAAGAAAAAAATGATCTTAGGGACAGCTAACGCTTTTATGCATTCTCATACCAATGCGTGTTCCGTAACAGCCGAAGAGCACCCCATAGATGCTGTAGCTGTTTTCGAATGCTTCGGCAAAGTGACAAGACGTCGACCATGTACAGAGCCATAAAGTCCTTATAAGCCTTATTACAATGCGACATACAGGTATATTTGTATTTTCCAGTGCGAGCGTGGAACACCACTTGGTGCCTGTCGTTAAGCAAGTGAGGGTTCGTACGCAAGCACTTGTGAAGGCGAATGCCAAGGAGCACCCTGCTACTTGTCAAACCAGCTGCCAAGATAAAACAGATGAGACCTATACTCTGAAAATTCTTGTTTGGGGGCTTTAAGCTGAAGCACATGTGCTACCGTCTGCCCATTTTCGACACCCACACCGAGAATTGCCGAAAGGCCCTCGTCAACTCCTCTTTTTCCTTTGCAAAAAATGAGCCGCTCGCAGCTCAATCTCTTCATGGTCTACCGGCTTCCGACACCGCGCAACATAGCTTGGGCCTGACTAGGGGACTAACTCAATACGATGCCCTGGACGACCAGCAGCTTACCAGCCTGCTTACAGCTGCTCATAAGCACTCCCCCCTTATCCCCCTTGATATCCGCTCACTCGTTCTGTTCCTCAGCTAAAGATTTGATCGAAGTCCCTGGAAATTGGACCTAATGGAAAGCCACAAAGACGAGTTGCATGCTTAAAGTTGTCTTCCCTTACTAAACTGCTGAGCAGGTAGCACAGAGACTCTGCCTCATCTTGTTTAGGTACCAACTCTACCCCACTCACCATAGAAGCACTGTACATCGTTCAGAAGACCAGGCGTTGCCTCTTTCTAATGCATCCAGGCATACTGACGGTTTTAGTGCGCAGCTATGTTCGCATGCGCGCCACTTTATTGGGTCACTCGTTGCATATGTACGATTATGTAATGACGCAGGGATGCGGCACAGAAGTCTTGGACCATGCTACTAGGACCCAATCTTACTACGAATAGCACGTAGCTGCCGAAGCCTTGGCATTCCGTGTGTCCTCCAATCCATAAGCAAGCCTGAGCTTATGGAAGGTGATAAGGAGTGAGCAAGTAGTCTGAACGTCTACGCTGTCTCCTCGGGTGATAGATCTGCTTTACATCCAGTGTGCAACCATGCTGGCAATTCTCGACCATTCATGTGAGCTTGTGTAAGCATAGAATTGACCCGAGGTGGGCCCCCAACAGAAGCTCTTTTCTCTGTAGCTTCCTCCACTGCGTCAAAGCCAGCGTGGGGAACTGTGTGTTTTCTTGATGCGCTTTTTTTGCTTCATGATCAGCCTGCTTGCGGTGACCCGCGTCCCGTCAGTCAAGCTTTGACTTTATTTGCTTGCGCTTGCAGCTCCTAGTTTTATGGCTCAATATGCCAAAATAGAATGTAATTTGCTGGGGGACTGTTCTGCACTGCTTAGGAGCACGAAATCCCTCTGGTTCTACTTTGGCATTTACGCTGTAAGCTAGGGCGCAAAGGCACAGCCCCGATATCCACTGGTTCTAAATCCCGAAAATGCTCTTCCTTCGCTGCTGGAGACGCAGGAATTATCCTGCTTTGCTCCTGAAACCAGAAGTGCTCTATCATTCGTGTAGACCCCTCGGCCCGGTGTGTGGTATTTGAGTCGTTGTCCAGCGTACGACCACCCAATGTGAACCTCGAGAATACTTGAGGCGAACCAATGAGAAAGCAACTGACCCTCTGATTTGTGGCTTTAGCAAAGCAAATTCTTGGTATGGAGTTCTACTGCTAATCTCATTGCTTCAGCTCTCTCGATCAGCCCAAAGTTGCGGCTGAGGCAATCTCGGCATGAAGAAATGTGTCAGGAGCCACATAAGGGTTCTTCAGTCAGTATTTGCTGCAGGCAGATGACTTTTGCTTCATGACTAGAGCCACCGCTGAAGTGCTTATATCTTCAATAGACAGACCACAGGGACCACTCGTTCCTCTTTATCTATGGATTACGAAGCAAGTTACGCCTCCAATTTGCTGACGAAATCTTCGAGTACTTGCTATCCTTGCTGGAGTAACCTCGTCGACGCCTAATGGCTTTCTGCCATACGGGAAGCTACTGTATCACACTGGCTTGCAGGCGGGCCTCTACATGCACAACGAGCGTTGTGCTACTGCCCACGTCCATCGCCAGATGGTTTGTGTAGCACGTTGTTGCCAAATAAATCAAATCATTAGATTAGCAAACTACTTGATACTCGCGGTTTCCTGTATTGTCACAGCACTGGAACATTGAGGAGAAGGAGATAGGGAAGCTTCTTTTGGAGGGCTAACGAAGACATCGTCATTTATTATTGTGTTTTGGAGAAAAAGTATCATTCTATGGGGAAGCAAGAGGTGATACCCCCTATTTTCTTACGGAGTACATCACTATCGTCTATACAGCGCTTCAAAAAATACAATGTAGAATCGCTCATGACGATCCACTGATATGCCACCACCATAATATCACGTACGTCAACATGCAGGGCCGAGCGAGAAAAGGCACAGCGCGCTGGCATGCGTCCGCGTGTGCAAGTTGATGACCTCCACTTAGCAGAAATAAGTCTTGAAATAATATATGTATGATACTGGAAAGTGGCCTTAATGGTTAAAATATCCACAATTCTAGGGGATCTTTGGGCGCTGTCTACGTCGTGGGGCTTACTTTTTCCTGCATGCAACAAGGCAGAAGGCCACAAGTGGGGAGGTACTACAAAGCGAGGACATTGCGTCCGAATGACTTTTCGGAATCCTTTGAAGATGGGATGCTGTACTTTCAAGCCCCAGAGCTTCCTGTATGGGGGGGACGCGCCCACAGTACCATTATTCACATAGTGTCAACTGCGCGGAAGGAAAACCGAGACTGCTTTTCTTTCTTTTAGCCGTATTCCTCTTCCTCGGTGCACATCTATATGAACTCTGCTGTAAACTCATTTCCACAAATATTCAAAATTCCATTACTTGGACCTTTGGCATACCGCTTATGCAGAAAGCGCGGCATAGGTATATGAACCCTTCGTCGCCCTAGTAGATCCCCCTTTGCCCGAGCTGTGCAGAGAAGTCCCATTTTTCCGTCTTACTTAATCGCATCTCCTCGGTCCCGGAGCAGGCTAAGCGTTGCTCGATGGGGCCCTCTGAGGATGCCCAGACTGCCTCGAGCTATCCAGTTGCAGGGGCTTTGAAATGCCAAAGTAGTACGAGTGATAGAGATACCATGCACGTCTCTTCTTCAATTTTGGATGCGGCAGGGCCCAGTGCCTCTGAAAACCTGGGAAGCAGCAAACGCACGCATGCCAAGAGGGAGCAAGATGTTACTCTCTTTCAGCAGCTGCTGGAGGAGACAGAAGCAGCTGACGCCAAGGACTATGTTCCCCTCAAAAAGCGCAAGGCGATAAGGGAGCAGCTGCTGCGGAAACAGCTCCAGGCACTGAGTGCCCACCTGGAGACGGAGGACGGGGTGCAGGGACAGAGTGAATCAGAGCCGGATATCGAGGCAAAGCAGAAGGAGGCTAAGCAAAAAGAAGCAGGTGAGACGCGCCACTTTTCATCGCACAACTTGTTCTAATGGTAGCCAGAACCATTTATATGTGCTTTACCGTGCTCATTACAAAGAGGGGCTCGTGATCGGGTGTGCAGCCATTTCCAAGGCCCGCTTGGATTTCCGAAAGACTCTCCTTGCAACTAGCCGCAAACTACGACAGGAGGCGGAGAAGAACAAAAAGGATGTTGTCCAGGAAATAGAAGAAGAGGAGCAGCGCATTCTTGAACAGGTGAGATGGATTCTGGAAGATGTCGACAGCATTGAGCCAATGGGCTACAAACTGGGAACCACTATTGCACATCTCTACAATGAGGTCGTATACAACACAAGGTAGCTGTGCCAGGTCGGGGCGGAACAGAGATATATTCGCATGACTTCGTGCCAATAAGGCATACGAGTTGATTCTCCAAAGCTTTATTTTTGCCATTGTCGGCCGTAGGTGTCCAAGTCATTGGGGGCTCCCCTGCAGGGCGTGCGAGAGCGCGCCAAGGGTATTGTGTATTCAAAAAGGATGGCTACGTCTTGGACAATGCCTTTGAAGTACCAAGAGATGACTGAGGCAGAGGCTAAGGAGGTCAGGGAGCGCTTCTTTGTTGACGTTAACGGCACTGATGTGCCTCCCCCGTTTCGGAACTTTAAAGACATGTGCTTTCCTCAGCCTATTCTAGATGCCCTGAAGAATAAGAACATAACAGCTCCAACACAAATTCAAATGCAAGTAAGCAGCATGTAAAGTAGCAAAAAACCTTTTTGATGAACAGAACGAGTGAATTTGGTGGAGGGGGATACTAAGGTTTTCATTTTTATCTGCTGTGGAGGTGGCGCTTTGAGTACAGGGCATTCCAGCGCTGCTGCAGGGCAGGGATTTGATTGGGATTGCATTTACGGGCAGCGGCAAGACCCTGGTATTCACCCTACCGATGCTCATGGGAGCCCTGGAGTCCGAGATGAGATCCCCATATTCCATTGGTAAGGGTACAAAGTTAGCACGAACGTACCTTCTATCCTTAATTTTGTTTGCCACATATTATAAAGATGTCAGATGCAACCAAAAGCGACCTTAGATGCAGGGTTTTCCATATTTTGATGCGTACATTTACGTGTACGCACACGTATTATGCAGATATGTGCCCTATGTGTAAAACTAGCATGGGGCCCTGAAGCACTCCATTGCACATATGCATGTGCGTCGCTTAGAGGTGTATTCAATGCGTGATTTTGTTCTGACATTCAGGGGAGGGCCCGTGGGGACTGGTGGTATGTCCTTCTAGGGAGTTGGCAAGCCAAACCACAGACGTTGTAAACTTTTTTGCGACTGCTCTCCATAACGGTGGCTATCCGCAGCTACGGTCTCTCTGTATGATTGGGGGGGTCAGCGTCCAGGAACAGGTAAATAGAAGGCTTTCGAAATTGATGCTTTCCGCTCTCGTTCTTTTTGCAACGTCTCATGTGGCAGTGGCACATTAGAGGCAAGGTCTTGAGCACCTGCTGGAAAACGGCATATCTGCATTTGGGAGGCAACGCCTCGCCATTTCGGCCTGCAGCTTTGTTACAGGGTTTAGCGGACAAGTTCTCGGCTGTGTTTGGGGGTAATGATGCAGGGTGAAGGTGTTTGGGTTTGCTTTGCCAGGCTGCGTTTATTCGAAACGGAGTGCACTGCGTGGTGGCAACACCAGGTAGATTAACGGATATGTTAAATAAGAGGCGCATGGGCCTAAACCAGTGCCGTTATCTTGCGTTCGACGAGGCAGACAGGTGGGAACGAGATTAAATTAAATTCCAGCACGATTTTATTGAATGTTGAGATTCTGATTTGGAGCTCTACTTGCCAATGTTTGTTCTGCTGCGTGAACCGAGTACAGTGAAGCTCTCATGTTCGTGCGGTAACTAGTATGTGCTGTCTTCTGATTTTCACGGCAGAATGGTGGATATGGGGTTCGAGGAGGAAGTAAGAAACGTGTTGGATTGTTTTGGCCACCAGCGCCAGACGCTGCTCTTCTCGGCGACTATGCCCAGGAAAATTCAGGAGTTTGCAAAGTCCGCGCTTGTAGATCCAATCGTCGTCAATGTTGGCAGGGCAGGTACGTGCTTTTCACATAGGTTTTCTGCATCTCATTTCAATGAAATATCATCCACATAACTTGCCTGCATAGGAGATATCGTCGAATTGTATGTGGTCATGTGTGCATGCATCGACGCGGGTATGTTCTCACGCAGTGGTTTGGCAAATTCGCTTCCACTCCAAGAAATCTTGTCTGTTAAATAGAAGTGCTTCATTTATAGTACTTCCACCGCATGTTAACTGTCGTGGAACTTCGAGCGCCGGGCCTATCGCGCTTATATTCGAGTTTATGGCATGTTGCTCCCTACTTCTTCAGGTGCCGCCAACCTCGATGTAATTCAGGAAGTGGAATACGTAAAACAGGAGAACAAGCTGCCCTACCTTTTGCATTGCTTGCAGAAGACAGAACCCCCGGCTCTAGTGTTTTGTGAAAACAAGAAGGATGTGGATGACATACAAGAATATCTTCTTTTAAAAGGAGTAGACGCGGTTGCGATACACGGGGGTCTCGCACAGGAAGAACGAAGCGAAGCCGTTAGGCTCTTCAAGTACGCGCTTTCCTATAGCGTCTATTCATTGTGTTACAAATTACACGGTATCGAGTGTCTTTTATCTGTGTATTGGCTTTTACGCCTCATTTACTTCTGGTGATTTCGCTCATTTTGATTTATGCTGAGGCTACATGCAAACGAAGTTGCCTTATGTTCAAAAAAGGTAAGGTCGTGCTGAATGACACTTTGACAGCAGCTGCATTCTAGGATTGTTTCACGCGCAAGCGGCTGTTGACGTATGTTACCGTTTTTAAAGGTTATGCAAATGGTACGAAATATTGTTTGCTGGATGCGTGGCTGGACGCATCGTTTACATAGATTTCTCACATATTTTTACATTGGATTTTTGTTTTATCTTCTCCAGAGAAGGGAAGAAGGACGTGTTGGTTGGAACAGACGTTGCTTCGAAGGGGCTTGACTTCCCTGCAATTCAGCATGTAATCAACTTTGACATGCCGAAGGAGATAGAAAACTACGTCCATCGGATAGGGCGCACGGGGCGCTGCGGCAGAACTGGTGTTGCCACAACGTTCATTAACAAGAACTCGGAAGAAACGGTGTTGCTGGACCTCAAAGCTTTGCTCATTGAAGCCGGGCAAAGGATTCCACCGTTCCTGGACGCTCTAGACAGCAGGGGGTTAAACCTCAAGGTCAGCACCTGTGTGTCGTATATATTCGCATTAGCTTAGCGTTAGTGATGTTCGTAAATGGCAAGCAAGGCGGTTTCTGCAGAAGCCCTCATGGAAAATTCAAATGTACACAGTACAAACGGCGTACCAGTTAATAGAATGCTACCCTTTGAATTGTTCTCGGTGCTATATGGTTCTTGTGTCCATTATCAAATTTAACGCACTGTAGTTTCTCTATTGAACTAGCTGAAATTTGCGTTTATGCTTGTATTTGAAAATGTATCGATGCTTTTTATTGCCGTTTGTATCTTTTGTGCACATATGTTACTAGGCTTTATATATATCGCTCCGATGCATTCTTGTTCTAATGTTATATGAGACACCATATGCGTGACTCGTACTTGTGTTTACATACATGTGCGTTCTGCAGGAAATTGGAGGTGTTCGAGGCTGCGCTTATTGTGGTGGCTTGGGTCATCGTATCGGTCAGTGTCCCAAGCTGGAAAGCCAGAAGCGACAAACTCAGGGTTCCACAGGAAAAGACTACTTAACATCTGGCTCCCGTTACGGGGGTACAGGCAAGTACGGAGGCGAGTGGTGATGCCATTCTTTGTTGGTTATCTCCCGCCCGATTCACGTGCAGTTAACTGGGATCGAGCTTAAGCTTCAGGATGCCTTTGTATAGTCATTGATTGTTTGGCGTTAATTAGCGTTGGTAACTCTTGCTAGAGAGGATACCTGAATAGTAATACAAGGATAATGCTGAGGTAGCACGACATAATTTTTTTTGTACAACTCCGCTCCCTAAAAGTCTGTTTTTGGTCGACTCTGGCATTGTAATTGTAACTACCTAATGTTTTGGGAATTGCAAAACCAAGTCAATCCTTTTCTTTTAGAGGGATTCAAAATCTTTCTCTTCATGAATTATAAATCGAAGTTTCTACTAGAACTTTCAATTTGGATTTTCAAACATGCTACGGCTTCGTGATGGCTCCTCCCCACTAAAGCCGATGTAGCAAAACACTATGTACAGAATTCATCGCTTGACGCCCTCAGTACTGCTCTCGACTACTGCATGTCCCCTATTGACCCGCAGGCGTCCAGCAGCCCCTGCGGTGGCAGACGCAAGAGAAAGGAAGCTTTTTGCCGCGCTGCCACCTGTAAAACCGTTTGTTTTGACAGTTGCTAGCTATCGGAGATTAATCATCGAAGAATAGAGCAAACGATCTGTCTGGCTTGTTGCCGAGCTTAGAAGTGTGGCGTGCATAGGTGCTTCATTTTCAAAGCAGCAAGCCTATGGGGGCTGGGTCGTTTAGTCCACTTCCAGCTTGTCAGTGTTTGAATGATAGATCTGGTGAATAGACCCCTCTTTTTTGTTAGAAGCGGAGACTAACGGGCCTTACTTATAGTGTTTGTTGCAAAGTGGACGACACACGCGAGATGCCATGCCCTGGCTTGTGTCAAGAAATGTCGGTGCTCTTCTGAATGATCTTTATTCCCTGACCCCAAGAGATAGTGGAACATATGTGCGCTAGCGAGCACTAATGAAATGAAGTGGGTCTAAGGACAAGTTAGCCACTCTGTGATCGAAGGCCCCTCGCATTCCCTGGCCCACGTGACCGCGTCTGCATATTCAGGTCTGCGAGTTCTGAAGGCGCTGTTGCACACGTTGTACGGCTTGTGACACTTGTCTGTTCTGCTGCGCATGCAGACCCTCAGAGTCGGACAGCAGAAAAGCCCGGATTCACACTGTGAGTCCGCTATGCATTTGCCGCATTGCGTAATAAAACCCTCTTTACCACCACATGCCCATGTAGGCAAACCTGAAAGCAAAATCACGGTCCCTATTCGATAAACTTGTAGCTACTAATTCTATAGATATATTGTATGACTTACGAATAAATACTGGTATAGCGCCCTGCGTGATGTGCTGATGAGGCGTTTCGCGGCAGGCATACACTACAGCCCTAAGGCTATGAATAATGAATACAGCAATTGGGCCAACCAAGTGAAATAGTAACAAGGGCGAAGCCTCACAACCTCAAAGATTTGCTAACAAAAACTGCAATGGGATAAAGATTTGTTTAGTGCTCCGGCACGTGGCGGGTTACGCTAGTAGCCACTTTCATGGCTATTGCGGTGTGCTTCTAGTGTACTTCAATGAGCTTTAGAACTGTGGCCTGCGCAAATTTGGGTTGGTGGGAGGACGGGAAACGGGCAAGATCTTCAATATATCAGTTGGATTTTCGGAAGTGAGCTAGTGGGTTAGGCACTCAACAAATACTAGGTGATACTACCTGAATTTCGGTTTTCTCTTGTGTCATACTGAATTATCAGGTGTAGCACGTTTCATACTCGAAGCCATTGCCAAGATTGCGCAGAGGGCGCAGACCAGGATACAGCAGACCTTGGAGAGCCCGAGGTGCGGCCCTCTTCGTATCATCATGATCCTACTTATCATTCCTTTTGAGGAAAAAATAATAAAAACACGAATACGAAGGTCAACCGAAGATATTTAGCTTTAAGGGGTAGCGTTCACCGTTCATGATTGCTACGGCTGCCCTGTATTTGGACATGCAGTACGAAGGTCACCTACACAGTACCAGATTTAGCTTCTCTCATAGCCACAGAAAACCAACTATCCAGAAACCCTGGGCAACATAAGATTGTCTTCACGAAACTAATAGGGATGGTAGGTTGGCAAACGTATACAGGGAAGTAGCGTAAAGTGGCACGCCAAAATATTGAAATATCACGAATGTCTGCTCCAACCGCCTCCTACCTCATGCTGACCAGCTAATCTAAAATGAAGCGCTATCTTTACCCTTTCCCCACCTCTGCCGAGAGCCTATAGGGTGTAACACTCCATGTAAAGTCTCCCTACAGAGACATTGAAATCCAGACTGAGTGCAAATTTTGTGCAGAATCGCGTATTCTCCAAAACAGCTTCCCTCTTGAATTGCCCTTGCCTTCAGTTCCGAGCATGAGTGGGGTGACAGCTAGGGTAGGCGCGGCTACATCCCCTAAATACTCCGAGCAGTCACAGCTAGATGCACGTTGCGTTTAGCGCACATGCATACACAAGTGTCTTCATGCATCGAAATGAGACTACTGAACAAAAAATAAGCAATACGAGTATACAAGCCAATTAATTATTGATTTCCTATTTCTTAAATGTCTAGTATAGTAGAAAGCGTTGAAGCGTAGCTTAGCCCGCTATACGTGGCAGCTACTCAGAAAGCCATGGTGTGCTCTGAGCTTCAGTAAGCGCCCCCCTCTTGCTGGGTCTTTCTCCACGTGCCATTAGAAGCGTGCATCCCCCTGTGGAGTTTTGCACACCGGTGATTGCCTCCAAACTTAATCATAATCGTAAGCATGTGGTCCTCGTGCAAACGAGGCGCGCCTCGCCATGGAGAGGGGGTCCCGGCGTAGGGCGTAGGAGCGCTAATCTAGATGCAAGATATGGCCAGTTTCCCTGCGGCCTTACCAAGTATTTTCGCGTGTCTGTGAGCTTGAAAAAGCATTTAGAATAAAAACACAATCGCGGACGAGACTTGCATCCTGTCTCTTTTAAAATAGAAAAATAGCTGTACTAGTAAACGTGACCCTCAATTTTTGTTTGGGCATGCATGCCATGCATCCGTCCCATGTACAAGCGCGTGTGATGGTCGTAATTGCTCCGCAGATGAGACACAAAGCATCCGCAAGAGTAATGATTCGCGGACTGCGCCAGCGTAAAACGGGCTAGAGAATCAGCACGGCTAAACACCAAACTTTTGGCTCCACACCCACGTTCTAATATAGCGGAACGCTGGATTGCCAATACAACGCATTGTGTTCAAATGATTAACTATATAAGCATCTCCACTGGCAAAAACACGGAATGGTCCTTGCAAGTGCGAAATTAACGGCCGACAAGCTGCCAAACCGCGTCCTCTCGAGCCCACGATACGGAGGGAAGAAAGAAAGGGGCAAGGAGGCGAGATAAGTGGTGCATACAGGGGGAGAAGATGTCGAAGAGCGGGTGGAAAAAGAACGAGTAGAGGAATCGCAGAGGTGGGAACGGAAGCATTGTATTCAGGGAGATGCAACAAAGGAGGGTCAAATCCCTACATTGAAACTACCCATGGAAACCCCTGATGGCCCCGGGGTGACAGATCCAGCCGTCCTGGGGTGAAACATTTTTAGACAGGCATTACCGAAGTCGATATTGCACCAGAAAGTACTGATGAAAACACAGAATCCAAAAGCTGCTATCAGGCAGATGACGCATAACCACAAAGCAACGTACACGTCCCGATTGACATGATGCTCTGTTTTCGGTAAATCCCCATGGGGACTGTCTAAAAACAGTAAGTCAAAACTCCCTTGCTGCAGCAGCCGCAGACACATGCAACGTTACAAACACAAAAAGCCTAGACAGACCAACTGCTGGTGATGCTACCGGATAATTTGCAGACTCGTAAAAGAGGCACAAGAGGCTTACTGGAAGATCCAGGAGACGGGAGTTAGCAGTTTCTTGACGGTTTAGGATGGCGATGTGGTCGTAGAACGTCGCAGCGGCGAAAGGCTCCAATGCGCTCTGAATTTTGTCGTACTTCGCAACCTGGAAAGCATTTACGGGTCGAATATTGACTCTGTGTATTTGCAAAACCTTGTAACGTGAGCGCAAAGCCTGGAGGAACTCAGCCAGAGTCGCGTTGAACTGCTGTACCACCTCACCAGGGCTCCCATGTGCTCTCTTCGGCATTGCCTCTATCCGGACTTCCGGAGTGGGAGGGGCAACCAAAACCCTAATAAGTTTATTGGATATGTTATACTTCATCTCATGACCGCTGTTTGAGCCTGTAGTTAGCATACAGACCGTGGAGTCTAGCCCGAACCGCACGTTGGCCAGCCTCCTCATACTGCGCCTCCTCTGGGTTGAAGAAATTTCAACCGGCACCAGAGGAGCGACAGACTCTAGCAAGTCTTTCATGACCGCCTTGGGTGTCCACGGAAGATCAGATTCAATGAGGTTAGTATCTGAGCATTTCACCGCTTGAGTAATTGCTTCAAATGAGAGCTGGCGGCGCCCTGCAGTGAATAGCTGGCACTGTCCTATGACTTCGACTGACTGCTCATCCCAAATGCTTCCAAGTTCTCCCTCCCTCCGGCTGTTAGCAGTGCGCACAAATTGTGGGGTCTGATCCAGCCTCCAAGTCCATGCAAAGCACTTGCTTTGACCCACACCTTCGCACCAACTACGGCAACTCGGCCAACCGATTGACCGGCTCATTGTCGGGTGGCCTGAGAAAAACGAATTGAACGCTTATGGTTTTATGCAGTGCACAAGGAAATAACATGTGAGTACACATTTGATCTCCTCAAACCAGAAGATCAAATATCTATTGGGCAGCCAATCGTATCGCAAAGTAACACAAAAGGCATGCTTCGCTTTCATGAGAAGCAAAGTTATGGACGCAGGAAAATTGAAGAATACGAAAATTCTTTCGTATAGCTACTTTGTGCCCTTGTGCCGAACAAAGAACTTTCAAACTGTGCAGTATAATCTGCTATGGGTATATGTGCACACCAGGGTCACCACAGGAAACCACAATGGAGGCGGGCGCAATTTATGAAGGCGCAGTGCCTGAATTAATGGAATAAACACCAATTCACGATGAAAAAAACCGCAGACCCCAGTCCCGACTCCGGGAAGCCTTCACGCGATGCAGACAAAATAAAATGTCGTGGGCCCGTGGGTCCGTGTGCTGGGAAGCTGGAATAAAAATGCTTCTTACCGCTTAAAGAGACATGGGGAGTAGCACAGGGAGCAAATTGTGCCTCCGATTTAAAAGACACATCATACAAATGATCCGCCTTGACGAACGCCACGACCTGAGACCTAGAGCGGGTAGTAATGAACCAAGCAAGGAGTGGGTCATCCACCAACAGCAACAGGCGGATATTAGCATCCCGAAGATCAGCTATGCTCTTCTTCATCAGCGCCTCCCCTTTCTTCCGCTGCCACTGCCTGAACCCTTCAGCGTCTTTCGCACTATCGCGCATGTTGCGTGTCTGAAGGCTCGCATTTACAAAAGAGCTCGTGTGTCGGGGCAACAGCTGGCCCCAATAAGTGTCAACCAAATAAGCTATCTCTGCAAAATCGAAAAAGGAGACGTCCTTTTTAACAAAACTGTCGAGCAGGGGACTGCGATACGCCGAATTGGTCGGCATCCGCACCGCTTGAGAGGCCCGAGCGGCATTGGCGGCAATCTTGGTGTCAGTCTCATCACTGTATGGAAGTCCACTTTTCAAGAAGGTCTGTAGTTGTTTATCTGCATGGGTAAGGGACTCCCCTAGCTCGGAGCCACTGGCAATTGAGTTCCGGTTGGTGTGCACATTTCCGTTGACCGCTGAAAAGACAACAACTACAACTTCGCTTAGAGACTCTCTAAGGAACTGTCGCACAGGCTTGAACAGACCGTCAGCAAGTTCTGTCCTGCCATGCACCTCTAGGGCCGCTTCCGCTGCAGCAGGGAGACCTCCGGTAGACGATGCATTAACAACGCTGCGCAAAACCTCCATATCATCGGACAAGCGCCACGGAACCTCTGCAGAAACACCATAGGGCAATCAGCGCATGGAGACATGCTATGGCGCCTTGAATTTGAGGATTTACACGATATGGTGTGAGACCTCCCAACGCTTCTCAAATATCCGAAGGGCGGACGACACAGCGGCTGTGGGCATTCACACCATTCGCCACATAGGTTGTTAAACGCACAGTCGTTATACACGCAAGCAAGCGAAAGCAAGGAGTAACTGCAGGCGTAAATAAAACTGACCCCAAACCTTTAACATCCCTTTGCTTCCTTCCTAGGCTCAAAGTATCATGTTGTACATTATTTGGTTGCGCAGCATACCTGTGAACCATGCTGAGGTTTGCCTATTTGTCTGTTTTTCAGTACTCGTGCCTCGCCACAGTCTAACATCCAATATCCTCACCCCGTCCTCAAGCTGATTGAGGACTCCCTGGTCTTGCGCTTCCACTTTGCCCGCGTACTTTGAAGTGTTAACATCCGTGAGGGTGCTCATATACGTTGCGGGGAGGGCAAGCTTTAACAGAGAGAGGTGAGAATGCTGCTTCAACCACTTCGTACTCGCCTTAAGATCCACCTCATTTACACTCTTTATATCCCCGTACATGTGGAATGGCTGGACAAGCTGGCCATTCTGCGGCTCTACCACAGTAGTGGTGCCTGGGGCTGCGTTGGAGGATGCGAGAGTGCCAGAGGACCAAGGTGAGGAGGAGATGCACGGAAGGAGGAAAACGAAAAACAGAGACACAGAAAAAACACCCCTTGCCGCAAAACGCACAAGCAGATTCGCCATTCCCGAGGCGCCAAAGATGAAATTTTGGGCGCCCCCAGTAAAATTATTTGTTCTCAGTGCTGAGCCTAGTAATGGCAAGGACCGAAAGTAGTCCCAGCGGCACTCCAGGTCGTGAGCCAATGCACAGTGTGTGGCTAGACAGCGATAGCCTTGTCACTCCCACGGGGCAAAGAGCGTCCAACCAATAACAACATGGTCTCGTGGTCGTAAAAATAGTCATAAACTGTTAAAGGGGGGGGGGAACCTGCGAAGTCAATAGTTGTCTTCCTTTTCAATACTCATGGACTGTAGGGTGCACGCCGCACCATGGAGACAGTAGGAATTCCAGCTTCAAGCTGCTGCAGTGCAGAGACCGAAACCAGCCGACATGCAAAATTAATAAAGAACGAAAACTCCCCGCATGCGTAGATACTGGCATGAGCTGAAACCACATCCGACAGCCAGTGAATGCCCACTGACTCGAAGGCACACAAAAATGCCGCAAAGAAACGTCTTCTAAACTAGAACTCCACTTGAACCACGTGAATTATCAAAGCGCATCCATAAGAGGCGAAAGGAATCCTCCCTTGCTTCAAAGCTAGTGTTGCCCTGCACTGGTGGTGGCTCGTGGGGCTCGGCAGTAGATGCTTCCCTGTGCGGATGAAAAGCGCAGAGTTGCCCCAGAATTAAGTATGCACTTAAAAGAGGACTGACATTAGCTTCAACAAGTTAGTAAGACCTTAAAACGAGGGAGCTGTTCATACACTCAAATGTCCTATCTTCTTGCTCTGGCTTATTCGCTAAGTAATGCCGTGGGTCGATTTTAGTTTTTGACCGTCTTCGGTAAAAGACGCGTGTGTATCCCCCTTTTATAAAGCTGATTCTCCTGCATCAATGAGCTGCGTTTACTTGCATTTTTCTTGTTTGTCTTTCTTAGGGGGATCTCGTGCAGAATGATCACATGAGGGAGACATATTCCCTCTAGCGCGTCAAGTTGTCCAAAAGCACCTTCCACTACCCTGATGATACTTGCATACAAACTAGCTAAGAACTAACTCTTTTGCTAGACTTTAGTAATTGGTAAGTGTTGCGTAACAACGTTAGCTGAATGTCATAATAAAGGATACTGACTTTACTGCCTCATCCAAAGTTCCTTTAAGCAGACAGTGAGCTGAGGAGTCAACAGAAGCACACTCAAAAGAATATTAGTTGTTCTTGTGCAAGGGCATCCTCGTTTTTCTTCCCGCACCCTTCTGGGCTCTGGCATAATGGATGTAACGCTTAAGAAAGGTCTCCTTACCAGACAGCCCCAGACTCGGTAAGGAGCGGGCTAAACTGCGCTTCAACACTTCTTCTGACACAATATATATTACCTAAAAATAAGTAAAGACTTAACTTTATGGTTTGGCTGCTATTATGGCTTGTTTTGTTTGCAGTGTACTCTAAGCTCGATGCACGAAGACGCAATATCATATGCATGTGAGAGTTGCATGGGACTAGCTGTGAAGACCCGCAGTGCTTGGAAGGTAGAGCTACGAGCACTATTGCTGCCCTTCTCCCCTCATATCAGAACTTGGAGGTGCAGGGGCAGGGAAATGGGGTTCCCTTTTGAAAACACTTAAGAACCATCGATGAAGTTTACATTTGATCTTGACTTACCTGCCTCCCTACGGAAACTTGAGATGTAATAGCATTACAGTTGGTCATAGTTCCATGCAGCTGTGTCCCTCTTATTCGCTAGCTATGGTTGTAGTGGGACGTCAGGATTCCCTAAGCAGGTGCCTTGTACATATTAAGCTATCCGGGGACTCAATAACCTGATTTTCTTAATGAACGTTCGGGGAAGGGGGGCAGCCCTCTGTCGGTGGCAGCTGACGGTGGAGTATAGCTTGTCCAGGCGGCAGACACCAGCTTGCAAACCAGTGTGAATGGAGTGACTGCAGAGCCGGTTGAAAGACAACCAGTCGTCGATAAGTGGCGAGCTAAACCAACAAGAAAAGGATGACAACAGCGTGTGGGCAAGTGTTCGAAGAATTCATCGGCCGTTTGGAGACGTACCTGGGTGCATGTTCCTCAAGGTGAGGAACGGGTGCCCCTTGCGGCATCTCTCTCAGGAGGAAGCTCTCTACTGTTAGAGATTGCTACGCTTCAAGCCTCTACATACGCCTGATCCATCCCTTTACGCCGGTATCGGCTCGACAGCGTACCTTAAGCGAGCTCGGAAAGCTGAACTAGCAATTTGACTAGTAGATCGGTCTATCGAGCAAATTTAAAACTTTGGCTCCCATATTCACAATGTTAACGAACAAGTGCTTCAACAATAACCTATCAACTCTTCTCAAAGGGTCACACCAGCTAGTCACAGGGTTGGCAGCAGTTGAGTGATTAAACAAACGACCAATGGGGCTTTTGCAAAAGATAGACTATTCGAAGCTTCAGGATCAAATGACCGCAGATAATACCTCTTTAGGCGAGGGGGAAAAGCGCCGTCAGGACTTTAGATCTATGCTTATCCGGGCTGTGTCAGCCGAGACTATCGTACAGTTAAGGTTGGACCCAGACCTCAGAACATAAAGGAACCCGCATCTGCTCCTGTTGCGAAAAACTCGGACATCTAATTCGGAGATGCAGCGCATGCAAAACGGCACAGAACCTGTACAAGGGTGGCTGAGCCCAGCGGAAGCAAGCTGTTTGGGGAAGAAAGAAGGTGCATAAGGGAAATGGAAGGCCAGATGCGCAAAGTGCGGTGCATTGAAGGGGCAAGAGAGTATGAAGGCGTAGCTAAAAACTCACAAGGGATCCATTGTGCGTGGATTTAATCTAATACTAGCGACATGATCAAGCACTGCTGGCATTACTTGGCGCTGTATGTGAAGGGGACCAATTCGAAGAGGAGACACCACAAATGTGCATTTCTCTTGCTCGCTCGTTATCGCCGTCCCTAAACTTGGGTTTGCTGATTAGTGGCAGAAGACAAGGGTTGGCAAGTCTACGGCAGCGACGAGCTGTTTGTACTTGGGATCGGGTTCTATCAGCACGCATGCACGACCATTGCGTTGTACCAGATCACAGCGGCGTATCCAAAACGCAGGTATTACAATTGTTAATGAAAAAAAAGATTTTTCTGGGTAACTGCCTTTCGGCTACCGGAATTAAGCCAGATCCAGCAAACAGTGAATCAGGTACGTTGTAGCCTTTTCCCTTGGGCACCCAGAAAAATGTCGCGTAGCTTTCAAACTTGCATTTCAGCACAAAAATTTCATTCCTGCGATAGGATACCTGCTCCTTTGACTGGTCCAGCAAAGAAAACGCACTCTTATCCGGATAGAGGACGCTGACGCCGCGGGAAGAAATGTTATTGGCCTCCTTACAGGTGTTTGCGCTGCCTGATTTAGGAAGTTATTTCTTTCTAACAGCTGACGCAATGTAGCACTGTGCTAGTCTACCCCTAAGAACATATGGGTCCTCAAAAACAACAAATTATTGCTTTCTGCTCTCATTGCCTCAACAACACCAAGCAACCGCAGTCATGGGGGGCAAAACGAAAATCATGCGCTGTTGCAGGGAGTGATAAAATACACGCATTTTTGATCTTGTTGTCAGCATGGATAAGCATGAATCCCATGAGACGTTGTGGGGGGCGGTAAAATGCTAGCACTCATTAGCTGGGGGTCATTATCATATCCAGACCAACCATCAGGCTTTCACGCGCCGTGAGCAGAGTTTTGAAACCATGATTGTCCCAGGGCTGTTAGCTGATATGGACACCTCCGGCAATATTTATACACAGGCCGTCACAAGCGTGGTGAACAACGCGCTCTTGCAGCGTCCCAACGATTCACGATTGTGCAGTGAGACCGCACTTATCTGTAATCATTGACAGTTCCTACCTAACTTGGGTGAGCCTTCTGCTTCAATACCAAAGCATCTACCTGTAGTTCCAGAAACGTGAATGGCAAAACGTGAGGCTCTATGGTGCTCAGAATGGCCAAATGTGGCTCAACCGAAACGAAAACGAGGATTCGGTCAACCTTACATGTTAGCATCGTGCCGCAGTGCTGCTCTGCGCAAAGCGTATGAGCATTCTCTTGCAGGCACTTGGAATGGTTTAAACTACAGTGGAAATGCTCGTGAGGTGCGACCAGCGGCAGAAAAGTATGCGCCGCCATGCCAGACTCTCAACAACTGGCAACTCCTCCGCTATGGCAAATCTGGCCTTTCATAAAGTCCTCCTATGATCGAAAGAATTTGGAGTGAGTTGACTGTGGACCTTGTTGGTGGACTGTCAGACGTCAAGTGCCAGGATACCACCTACGACATTGTCGACTTAGCAAATATGCCCATTTCATCGCTTTTTCAGCTCTGCCAGTTCTCAGAAAGTGCTCAGTTATTCTTAACGCATTACTAGAAGTTCCACAGACCCCTCAAAAAGTATCCTTTTATACGGGGATCCGAAGTTTGCTAGATCGTGCTGGCTTACTTTCAGGATCTGCATTTCAGTTGCAAGAACGTACCAATTGCACTTTTCTGCATTATATGCAGCTAGATAGTTTTTAAAAATCCGGCTGCTCTGCCTTTCTTTGTTCAGCTGAGCGGGCACATCATACAACAATGCACTTGTCTACCCAATGCTTTCCTGCATCACCAGCCTACATTGAGGAGCGCCTCTTCAATGCAGGCTTAAACCTGGTGATCCGGAGTCAGCAGCCACTATTTGCAGCGGAAGGATCAGAGAGCAGCTGGCCAGTGCACACGAATGTATGCGCAATGTTGACTAGAAACAACAGGAGCGGATTTTATGAAGAGTGGCGATTGGCTGTATGTTTCGAATCTAAGGATGTGTTCGCGGTGGAGCTCCAGGCTGTACGAAGTGCATCTGAAGGTGACCAGACGAAGACATCCATTCCAGGTGGGTAGGGCTTGTAATCTTCAGACGGGTCACTGCTCTCATTTTACGCTAGCGATTTTTCGATGTCGACAGCAAAACGGAATTGACAATTTTGGCTTCCTGAGGAGATTCGGAGACTCTTCGAATTATTAGCGGAATCTGCCGCTCAGGCAGGTGACTGGTGGATGGTTCATGGGGAGTCGTTTACGTGCTGAATTCGAAGATCATGGAGTGCCGAGGAGATAAATTGAGGCAACTATGAGGCAACATCACCATGAGTGGTCGAAAGAGGAGCGGCTGCCGAGTTTGCCGCCTGTGGAAGAATTTGCCGTTCTGTTTAGTTAGCGACGCTAGTTGCCATGGACTGTATTCCTCGAGTTCCTTGGCAAGTGGCCTTTTCCAGCGCCTATTCTGTTTTTAATAGCTACCTCTATCTAGCGCAATTACTGAAGGCTCGCCCGGCCACTTCTAAGGTGTTCTGTACACAAACTATGCGCAGGGCCTCTCAGGTATGTTGTCTGCGATATTTCTATGAGGAGCTGGAGATCGACTATGCTACAGTCATGCAGCGGCTGCACTTGCACACAGAGACTGCTCAACGAGGCGCGAGAGACCTGCTAAACCCCCTTTAATTTCCATTTCCCTTGTCCGTTTACGCTATTTTCGTTGCGTCGTAGCATAAGGCATACACATTTAGCGCCTCGACGACAGTGAGCCTTCTTCCCGTAGAGCTACCTTTCGCCTGGTCCCCCGTTTGTTGCTGGTTAGTGCTTGTGTCTGGTTCTCCTTCCATTTCTTTTTAAGGGGTAATACCCATTTTGCTTTTCATTCGTGCACTGTTTTTCTATTTCTGCTTGCTTGGGGAGTGGTGATACGATGCAAGCTCCCCCGCTGTTCTGCACGTCTATGGTATTGAAGAACAGATGTGGAACACGAGAACGTGTGAATCATATGTACAGTAGATATAAGCAATCAAGACTTTGTTTGAACATTCTGGCAGGGCTTGGCTCCTCTTATATCCTGCTCACTGCAGACTACTCTTAGCTCGCTACAACAGCAAGTACTGTTGTGTGCATATGCGCCAAATGCTCTGTGCATCCAGCTGTAAATGCTCGGTGTACTTAGAGTGTGCGGCAACATGCCACCTTAGCTACCTCTCTGCCCTGATGTCGGAAGCTCGTAGTGGTGCGCCGGGGAAAAAAGGACCTTTCAATTTTTTAACCAACATTTTACCAACTTTTCGTTTAGTATGACGTCTCCTTACGCAGACCTTAGATAAAGCTCTACAGTAGGAAGCTCAATCAGAGTGCATAGACCGTCGGGACTGGCCAAATGCGCACACACGGCCCGCACTGGACATTCTTGCCGCCCCAGCGTGTTCAGTAGGCTTGGGAAGGCACCGAAATTATCAGTAAGCGCTTATCTAAGAACCAGTCCGTTGGGGGCTCCCCTGTCTGCAAGATGGCACTAGGAGAACAAACGAGCTACCTTCTCTGGAGCTGAAGCGCCTCTTGAGGGTGCAGTAGAGCCAAGTAGGGCCTTTTGACGATTGTGGGTCCATCGCCCTGCGCAGTAGTGATTATTTGGCTAGCTTCTGAGAACAGCCACAAGTTGAGAGCTCCGCGAAGTTCATTTGTTGTACTTGTAAAAAACACCAATACAGTACAGTATTCATTACACGGGGACTTTGTTTGGCTATCACGCGGTCAGGCATAAGCAGATATGATTGTTGACTAGGTGCATCAACCCCCCAGAGTCAGCTTGCGTGGGTGGACAACGAGCTGTCCAGCGACAGGCAAGGCCGTGTGTATGGCAGGTATGTAATAGACTGACCTGCTTATGGGCTCAACCTTTGAGCCCGTAGCTGTTGTTATGTAAGCTTTTCTTCGGCGCTTGTGTCGGCAAGTTTTTGTTCCGTTGGATCTGGGCACGCCATGTTCCGAAACGGTACAGCATCGGTACGCACTTTCAGCGGATGATATAGATAGAGCAAAGTTGGGGATTCGTTGATGCAGGGATTCTCAAGAATACTGCTAGAGGTATTCCCTGAATATTTCTTTTAGTGTGCGCAAGATTTGCATTTCCCCTAAATGCCTTGATAATTTGGTTAAGGATGATATAGATAGAGCAAAGTTGGGGATTCGTTGATGCAAGGATTCTCAAGAATATTGCTAGAGGTATTCCCTGAATATTTCTTTTAGTGTGCGCAAGATTTGCATTTCCCCTAAATGCCTTGATAATTTGGTTAAAAACTACACAACAGACAACTGAAGTGTTCGACGAACAGTTGTATCCTAATAACGTCAAATATTGTATAGTGCATACATGTTTCTAGCTGGGCTACGAAGTTTGGAATCCAAGCCGAACGTCTTTGAAAGCCATTCGCTATAGAGTGGCAATCCTGTAAAATTTTGTTGAATTCGGCCAAGCTGAGCCTATTTAGGTACACCGCAATCCTCTTAGTCATTTTAAGCAATACGTGGGTGCCTAGTTTACACAAATTCATGTTTTCCGAACCTCGTGCAGGTCACCTCGGGCGGAACCAGCCACTACTCCACTTTGTGCATGTCCGTGATTACGGTGGGTGCCACTGACCGTCCAAAAGCTCTGAGTACACCATAAATGATTATTCAATGTTTTCTTGCTTTCAGAAAAATATTTTTCGAGAGACTAATAAATGCTGGTGGTTTGGTTTGGCGAGGCCGTGCATGGTGAGGCAAACTGGCGCCAACTCTCCTATGAGCCATCATGCAGTGCTAGCAAGTTGAGGATTTTATGCCAGTAGTATGCCTGTAAGGCCAATGAAATTTGCAGTCACACACGCGTTCTTATCTCATATTCAGCTCTAAGCTGGTGTGCATTGTGGTGATAAGCGCATCTACGTTGAGGGCCCACAGGGATGTCTCCCGCGCCAAGGATGCGTTGCACTCAGTGCAAGCACACCACTCATGCCTACTGGTCGACTATCCGTAGCTTCTGACGACATGTAGCCTATATGCTAGTCAGCGCAAAGGCCAGCTAGGCTGCTAATATTGCTAACAGCCATGGATCTACAAGAACATATTGTGAGCGTTTCCCTCCATATATGACCTCTTATTGATTCATAAAAACATCGGGGCAGCCAGAATTCACATTGCGTAGGCAGAAAGGAGTTGCCGAGACGCAGGCACTTCGCACTAAACGCCACTAGTTGGTCACACTCTATAGGCTGCGTTCAGGACCTGTGTACGCAAGTATGGCCCTTTCTTCCAGGAATGCCACCACTGCAGTTACAAGAGATGGAGCCTCACAGAGAGGGGTCTTCAACTGCTCTGATACATTAATGAAGGGGCCAGTGCATTCAAGAAAGTCGGAACCATCTGTGCCAATAATGCGTCAACGGAAGATGAAGGGTATTCCAGCTCTCCACTGGACAACTGTGCATTCTGCCTTTGGAAACCGAGATCGCAGTGAGAAAACGTCTTTTTCCGCTACATCCAGATCGATTGCCGCAACGTTCCATTTGCCTGGACGCCTAAAGATAAGTGGGATATCCCCTGGCCTTTTCGATCCCACCCTGAAAATTGATCAGCTAGAGGCAGACGAGAGACGAAGGGATGTGCAGCAGCGGCGGAAACTTAGTGAGCCCGAACAGCACGCCTTTGAACTGCATACCGGTAGCTCAACAGTATTCGGCTCACTGCGTGAATGCCGCAATACCAGCATAGCTGCAGGCCTTAAACACGGCAATAGGCCTCTTTCAAGGTCTCAGCAGCCCTGGAAGAGACAAGCATCTTTAACGGAACTACTACTCTCAGGCCCGACGTTTCGTGAGACGATAGGTCACAACCGAAAATCCTCCGAACACAGCAGTATGCTTAAGAAGACCACCACTCAATATATATTTAAGAAGGAAGTGGCTGATAAACCGGTTCAGCTTCAGGGTTTTGCGGTGGCAGAAAAATCGCGGGTAGTCGCCCAGCGGACTGTCCAAGAGAGGGGGGAAGCGCAAAGCTTACAACCAGTCAAATTTGAAAAGCTTCAAAGCCAGCGTCAAACAATGCTGGGAGATTTGCACGAGAATGCTACTGGGAAGGTAGGTCCCAGACACCCCATTGCTATCGACACGCTCCGCACATGGCAAAACCTTTTTGTGGTGATTCACTCATAAGCGTTAACCTTATAATTATTCGGTGGACGAAACCAATATGCTGTTCCTTGCAGAGATGTGCGTCAGGAAATATCGGTGAGCTCCTGCAAGAGGAGCCAACAAAGGATTCTCCTCGCGAGTCTGCCAGTCCTGCGTTACCTGCTGTATCCACAACTCCTTCCTTGCGTCTAGCCAACTATTCTGCTCCTAATGCTACTAACAGCTTAACTCGGCATACCCAAACAACTGAGACGGGGTGGCTTAATCTTTTAAGCTGTACTATTCAGAGAGTTGATGAGATTCAACGGAAACTGGTCGAGCTTGCCTTCCAGATCCCTGAATCTCCCCCCGTAGAATTGCGAAGGTCTGATGATCCGAAGACCCAACTCTGGCTTGAATGTGTTTTAATCGAGCTAGCTGAAGTGCTTAGAACTGGGCCTGCACAAGGCACAGCGAAAGGCACTGCTAGTCTATTGGTTTTCCTACAGGAGCAGCAGGGCCAGTTGCTTAGTGCCACGCGAATTTGGCAACTGCTCCAAGAAGTGCGGCATTTTTTGGAACAGGCGGCACAACATAAATTTGCTCAATGCTACGTACACTGCCAAGTCGAAGCACAAGAGTGCAGAAGAGATGCAAAAGCCTCAAAAGACTTTTGCTCGAAGGCACTGTGGCGCCGCCACAGACAACGACACTGTAGTCAGCATGAAGCCAAGTTGCGCTCGGAATCTTGTTGTTTTAATGACAAAAGATCAAATGGATGCCAGTTTCACTGCCAAAGAGTAGCCAGTGCTGAGCATCGTAGGTTTGGTTACATCGACATACCGCCGAAAACAGTGAAGAAACATGTAACTAAGGAGTGTTCGAAGATTATTGGCCACATCCATGCAGATAAATCAGTAGGCTGAGATCTTCACATTGTTTTAGCTTCGCTCGTCCCCATTGTTGAGGCTGTAGGCGAAATGTTCGCCTGCAATATGCTGGACAGCTTTCTTTGCTTGCATGTAGTATGACGATTGCTGATGTCATGAAAAACTCAGCTTAACGCTCAACCAGAAGAGCCCCCAAAACATTCTCGGACAAGGATACTTGATTCACTATGCATTTGCGCACCTGTACCCCAGGCTACTAAAAGCACGTTGGAGAACCGCTGGCTCAGTTTGCCCACAACTTCCAGTCCCGGAACGGGATTGTCAAACAAGGTCCCGATAACCTTACTAAAGGCCTCTACCTGGACAAGTCAAAACGATACGATTGGTCTATTTGAAGAAAAGCGATTTCCATCGCCTTGCTGTATCGAGTGTCTTGGGCGAGCTGAGCCTCAGATTCGAGTGAATGAAGCTATACCCAGTCACATGCTTGAGTGCATTTTCCGCGTTCAAGAAGCAGAGTCTCGAGCTGAGGCAACCCTGAAAAATGTGGGAGAATCGAAGAGGATGTCTTTTGATCATGAGCAGCGGGACAGAGATGCTTACGACCAAAACACGCATCAAAGGAAGCTAAGTTTTTTTCCAGTTTATGCCTATGGTACTGCGTCCAAAGAAATCCACAAGCGGGGGCTGAATGGGTCTAAAACTGGCACTGAAATGGAGAGCGCTATACGTGGAACGTCAAGGGGGCATTTACAGCCTACTCTGGAGGTTGCAATTGAAGAAAGGATCCTAGCTTTCCGGAACTCACGAAAACAGGTGTTGCTAATAGAGGAACCACTACTCCAGCAAGATTGCTTGCAAGAAGCATTACTTAGGTTTGAACAGGAAGGAAAAAAATGTCGGTACATCGGTGATGAAGTGGGAGGAGTATGGACACTGCACGCCGCCATCGCGGGGCAGGTCATAAGTGACGAGGTAGAGCAGCTGGTCTTATTTATGGACACTGTAAGTAGTACGTTCGTTGGTCAGCTGCTTCACGCAGAAGCACTTCGTATGGCGAAGCGCACGGAGCTCATACCCTTCAGCGAACCTGATATCACTTGCGGCCCAAGTTAAGACAGTGTGCCATTGTGAAGTTCCTCTGGCTAGAGTTGATTGTTTGCATGCAAATTGGGTCAGTTGCTCCGAATGTGATGACTCCAAATAAAATCAGCTACATCGCACCATTCACCTCAGTTTTCAGATCACAGACTGAAGAACACATTTACTACTTGTGAATAATACCTTGTTCGTTGGTATTGCACCGACCAAAGCCTTGCGCTGTGCGGCCACTGGCTTACTTCTAGTGTTTACTGTTCACTAATATAGAGCGAACACGTCAGCAGCACTATGAAAATAGCCGCCAACGAAGTGAAGGGTATGTTCACGCCATCGTTTACTGCACACTAATGTAGGAGGGGTAGGGATGCTCACTGCGAGATTGGCGAGCACAGCGATGCACTGAAGTCTTTAGTCAACAAGAGCCTGTTCGTCTGAGCCCGCAGCTCTGTTTCGCTTGCCGCCAATATGTGTATGAGGAATATGGCAGTGTCAGCAAACAACTTCCAGTGCTACAAAATCAAAGGGTAGAACAAGCTCGGCCGCTGCAACATTTTTTGTGCATGGAACACAGAACTGGGGATTAGCATGAGAGCGACAAAACGCTGCATGTCTTTTTGTACGTATTGCTGGATGATCCATATAAATATACATCTATCTGCATTATCCACGCAATGCGTGGTGATTTTCACTTCGGGAAGCATGACGCCCTGAACGGGAAGCCGCGTTACAAGCTACCTCGAAAAAAATCCCCGGATTGGCATCTTCGGCAGGTTCAAGTGGTAAACTCCAAATTTGAATGAGTATATTGGGCTTGGGAGGAGCCCAAATGGATCCAGTCTTGTAGACAAAAGGAAAGGCATCGAAGGGCTGCCGCACTGGGCTGTGGTGTGCTTGAAGCATGGAAGACATACAGCCTGCTGAAATGATAGATAAGATATAGAAGGAGAAATGGCTAAGATTAGTTTTCAAGTGTCATATTTGGCATATCAAAGTAGCCTACGCAGGAGAAGTAGTTAACTTAGAGACAGCAAAAAAAGATGCTTTCTGAGAGCTTTCTATGGCCCCCCAGAGGACCCAAATACAGGAATACTCTGATACACCCCGAATTGATCCTTCTCAGACATTCACCGAGGTTTTTTAATACTGTGTAGACATCATATTCCTCTTCAAGGAACATGTGTATGCATGCAGGCAAAGCAACCGTTCAATGTTGTACGCTGTGAGACTGAATTTCATCGTATTTGGAGCTCAAAGTGTCCTGAGGAGAGCGCATAGCCCCTATTTTTTCACTACGATTCCGACAACACAGCACACGAGGGTCTTAACTTTTCTTTTAGCTTCATAGTAATCCGGATGCAGTAGGAACCTGAAGTTGACCCATACATCTCGACCTCGGACTATACACCCAGTTGGATCACCTGTGCCCACACTTGAAGGTTGAGGCACAATGTCAGACAAAATCTTGAGCTGATATAGCTCCCTCCACAGCTGTGCAACTAAGCCAGTCGAGTTCTCCGAGGTTTTATCTCCCTTTAACCCCTTGGAGCGTGTGACTTTCAGGAGGACTTGCACTCGTTTCCAAAGGAACCTTTGGTCTTTCAGTTTGACGAGGATTGTTTTGTTTTTTTCCTGTATATTCCAAGTAAGCCGGAAACCTTGTTTTAACGCTTTGGTTTGTAACAGGAGCCGATATCCATCACAGGTGGGCAATAGCAGAAGCGAGAGCCTACTAGAACTCATCACCGCATCGTAGACTACCAAACAGATCTTTCCTACCACTAGAGGAATAGCAATAATAGCGCTTCTCTCAATCAAAGACAAAAGAAATGTTAGGGAGCAACATTGCTGCGAATATCTTCTTCCAAGCACTGGTGCCGACATAGTTTGTAGCTCCACCAGAAAGTCGGAGCACCAGGCCCAACTTCCTTTCGGGCATGCGTGCCTATTGACAAAGAGAAGAACTGAGACATGCCGGAGCTACTGCGAACCATCAGTAGCATCACTCATATAAGGACTAGCAGGAGCGACAAGTAATAAAGCCCTCGGTAGGCAACAAATTTCTTGATTCATAGTGCTCGTAGAAAAGGGTTGTACCGTTCTGGCAGCGACGAATGATCGATCATAACATTTGACAGGCAAGCTTGCACCAATGAATCAAGTTAGAGCATAGCCTAACTTCAAGCAGACCGCAGGGAATAGCTTTGACCATTAGGATCAGGGAACCGCTGGTGCATTGCAGACCGCTTGCGCGCCGTTGTACCGATTGATTCACACTAGCGATGTGCCTCAGCACATCGCTTGCCTGAAACTAATCCGTCCGGTGCATGAACCAGTTTTTGTGTCCACTTCAAGGAGACTCGTTCTGACAATAGGAAAGGCAAGTCCAAGTGACCTCGTTGCTAATGGACTATGCCTAGTATTCATAGAGATGATAGCTAACTACCATATTTGTGTCTGGATATTCGTTAATCATCGAGCTTCAAGGCGGTGTAGAGAAGATAGCCAAGGAATACAGAAGTGCTTCGAAATGACTCTCCGGGTGAGTGTCCATCGTTGCCTGGAATATTCGCAAGGATTCGTCATGCCTGTGAGGCAACTAAAAACCCTACATTAGCCAAAGCAACTTAAATACCAGTAATCCACTCACCCTATCATGCATGCTGCCTTTGAATTCCGCTGGCAATAGTAATTGAATATAAAGGAAAATCTGAGAGAATTTGGGCATTCATGACACCATTCTTGTACTCCCAAAAGCTCCCACTACGGATGCAAATTAACATATCTTCCTGGCCTTGAGTTCTCTGAAGCGCTCCCTATCAAGTTTCCGTGGGAAAATACATAAACTCACACTGCATACAGACAATATATTGCTATTGAGTGGTTTCCAAAAGAGTCCGCTTCTTCCCCTGTCTTGACCCGACAAATTTTCTGACATTAGGGTAGAGGGCTAGCTGTGATGCGCGGAGTTGCACTCACAGAGCCCTCAAATTATTTATAACTACTTGCACATGGCACCCAGCGTAGACGCATACAACGTTGAGTCTTCATACATCAAGATAAGAGTACTCTGCAAGAAATAAAATATGCAAACAGACAAGTCAAATAATTAATATTCCCTTAATTCCTAGCTAAATAGAACTAGTGTCGTAGGAAGTTAGCCCGCTACAGGATCGAACCTACCCAGATGCAAAAACCCTGCGCAGCATCAAGCCAAAAAACTCGGGCATATTCTAGCATGTATATAGGCCTCTGCCACACAAGACTGAAAATGTGGCAAGCAGGGCGTCGAACTGCCTGCACGGGTGCAATCATCCACGGCTGTGAAATTCTGGCTTCTTAAAGGATTTTTCATAGGCCCTGCTCCTCTAATTCTCGAAGCTTAGGGGCAAGAATTTTCTTTTATATGTAAAATCTATATCAAATACCTTCGTGTCAAGCTCTCAAACTAGTGACGAAAGTGTAAGCCCACACTAATTCCATGAGTGTCCAGCCTCACAGAACTCTTCTACCGCAAAAAGTCACTCAGAGATGCAAGAAATTTTCTCTGACTCTCAAATGGAGAAAGGTAAGCGAGCTTCGATGGCATTTGGGTACCGTGATGCTGCACCGCCTCTACTGAAAGCTATCCTCAGCTTGAGTAACAAATTGCACTAAACACCCCTGGCTCACGGTCAGGGCCTTTCTGTAGATGCTCTTAATGTGCACTGGTACGCAATGCAATTTACGCGCAATCTCTATGGTAACGACCGGATGGAAGTGCAGTTTCATGCTAGTTTCGCTCCTCCTACTTCTCCCTAAGGAGCTAGGTTCTGGATGAGCTCACTTACTACATATGCCTTGTCGAATTCTTGCTTGAATGAGTACATGCTTTCATTCCTAAATAGGGCACCGCAGGATACTTTGAAAGCGTTGAAGCTCTCAATGCTGCTTGGCCTGTGCCGCACCTGCAGCCCCAGGCGCGCACGGTATGAAATCCGGCTAAAATGTTATACCGTAACTAGGCCAAGATAGGCACAGATAGCTCTTAATGTGTGGATTCTTGTGATTTTGCGAAGTCAGGAGTTTTGATAGCTCGCAGAATGCCATTTAGTACCCATTGCGTCACCTTTTGCCGAGTCCTCTCAGCAGTGACCAAACATTTGCAAGGAATGCTATGACAATATACTGAAAATCTTTGTATACTTCTGAGCTTGTTATAGATAGAAACACCATTTAAGTTTTAATGAACTATCAGGTGAATAGTCTGGCAGTACTGCAGTGTGCTGCGCGTCGACTACTTTCAATTGTTCCTGAGATAGAAGCTACCGCAGCTTCTATCTTGGCTCGATAGCGCATTTTGCTAGGCTGCCGCTGGTAACACTCTTTGGCTAATCTAGATATAAGCTATGGCGTGCGTGGAAACTGGCAGCACCCGACAAGCAGGGCCCGTCAAAAGGCAAGACTTAGTCTACAGCACCAACGATGATACCCTGCCTACTCAAAGAACCCCCGTAATATCTTTGCCGCACCACGTAGACAATGAGCATTCATGCTTGTTTGGTGCATTTAATGTTGGTCCTGCCCTAGAAGGCTGTCTACATGAGCATGCGGGAACAACGGCCTGCAGGGGAATTGATGCTATGAAACGGAATGCTTTTATCCGGACTAAAGCTGGCGTCAACGGAGCAGAACGGCTGCTCTTCTTTAGATACAAACCGCAGTCTAACAGCCATTGCCTTGGTGCTTTAGCTGCTCTCTATCAAAACGTTGATGAAGAAAAGGGGCGCAACGCGACACTCAAGGAAACAGAGGAATGGAGCAAATGCGAGATGGAGAAGGGTAAGCCTTGATATTCTATAGTCAATCTGGTACTTGTCTGGAGAAGCGGCAGCCTGCTTTTTATGGCCATAGCCGAAATTCTGCTTCGCAGCTTCAATGCATAAGCTGCACGTTTGGGTGGGGCGCCGCTGATAAATGCAGACTCCCGCTGCCCGATTACCCAATCAGTCGCTTTACAATCGTTATACCGCGAGCAGGAAGCTCAGACAGACCCCTACTCCCCTGAATTTAATTGTAGTAGTGAGGAGAAGCCTTGCGAGCTCGCCATTTCGCAGCTCAGCTGGTTAAGGGGCCTTCCAGCCACAGCTAAGGAAATCCGAACCATCAAAGAATTGCATATGCAGCTCCAACTGGATCAAGTGCTACCACCTCCCACCGACGAATTCTGCCTCGCCATTCGCACTACTTTGATGAATCAGCAGGAGTGCTTCAAGTGGGCACAGAGGGAAAGAGATATAAGCGAGATGCAGGCACGCCTCACTACATGGGCGGGAACAGCAGTTACAGTTCTACCTCATTTGCAGTGACGGACCTATACCGTCAGCTTAAGACTAATTTGCTCTTCCCGCACTGTAACGACACTTCGTCTTTCATGTAAACGAGCGCCATTGTCGCATTGTTGTCTAGCACAGGAAAAACGCCTACAAGTCGTTAAAATTGCCCTTCATATGCGCGCCAGAAGTTTACAAGCCAAGAGTGAAGCAGCATACCGCCGTAGAAATAAGTTCCTCAAAGAACAAACGCACTACAGGCAGCTGCGTATTGAGTGTTCCCGGTTAAAGACACTACGCCGCTTTTGGAAGAGCCGAAATGAATTCATGCATGCTCTGGCAAAGCCGCAATGTGTTGCAAATAAGTTCAAGACCGGCATATCCTTCCTGGATCTTGGACCGCATGCCAATGATGGTCACTGCCTTCCAGACCTGTTCACCTCATTGTCGGCTGAGCATTTGGCACATACACAGGCAAGACATTACCACGAACTCCTCACTTTCAGCTATTTAGTCAGGGGTAAACTTTTTTCGAAACGCAAGTACCTATCCTGGCATTCCATCCGTAGATCACGAGCATATCTTCGAGCACTCCTCTTTGAAAAACTACGTATCTACTCTCATTAACTAGCACGAGCATAGAATGTGGCATCCGCCATGGAATGGACTTGACCCTTGTGTTATGAAGCATATTTCCTCAAATGATGCCGCTTGGTCTATGAGAATGGCAAAGAGGATATTTCGCTTTCTGCTGCACACAGAGCCTTGTGGCGATGGGGATGGTGGAAACGAGACTTCGCAGAGACTACACTTCCACAGCTCAGAGCTCCATTTCTTCTCATCAGCCTGAGGTGGCATATCCTAGAGGCCGCAAAAGCTTAATTTACTCCAAGGTAGTTAGTGTCCCTTAACGTCTTACGGGTTGCTTTGGAAATAATGTGGCAAGCAAATAGATTCTTGTGAAAAGCAAATCATCCGCAGGACAAATCCAAATGTACTAGTGTGCCGAATGCAGGGCGTGCAAAGGCAACACGGCAGCAACCTGCAGCAAGTTAATATAGACCCTCAGATGCGTGACCCTTCTCATTATTGAGTCATGCACTCTGTGAAGCTCCTCATTACTAAGTCATGCATTCTGTACTGCTGCATCATAGGCGCTAAAACGCATGGCTGAGAAACTCCAAAGAGAAGTGGCAACTGAATTACTCAGTGCGGCGCCACAGCAGCTACAGATTGACCTTGCAGTCGCTCACCCAGCGTCCTCAGCCTCAGAAGGGGGGTCAGTTGCTACACGGAGGCTCATGAAACGAAATATAAGAACGCGACCTGAGACACCTCGAGTGGCTGAGGTAAGCCTATACACAAGAAAACCATCAGTAAAGCTCCTCGCCCAAAAACGCGCGGCATAGTACCCTGCCAAAAGCACAATTTCTCAATAGTGAGGTCACACTTGGACGCCTTTCGCCATTTTCATTCAAACCCACTAAAGCGATAAACTCTTGAATTCAGGAGCTCGTGCTTGTGAGCCAGAAGCCCTCAGGTACCAGTAGAAGAGGAAAAAGACGACATGGCGGTACTGTTGCTGCAGCAGCTGCTGCGCGGAGCTACTCGGTCCCATTTGATGATGAAGGGCAAAGAAAAGAGCCTTGACCTTGTAACAATGCTGCGTGCAGCTGAGCAGCTGCGTGATGTCCATCCATCCCGACAACAAAGCGCCCTGGATCAACAGATCGCCTATGAGGCGACAGAGGCCCTTATGGCCTCCGCACAAGGCGCTGCTATCGCAGAAGTGGGCTGATTACAATAGCTTGCCTTTGCTGCTAAGAAAGCGTTTAGAATTTACTTTAAAAGTAACCTACTGGTACCCTCCTAGCTAGTATCTGTCTAATGCAGGTTTTAGACGAACTAGCCAAAGAACAGAGGCGCATGGAAGAGGTGCAGCGAGTTTCCGAGCTGGTTAGTTTGGCTGTGAGGGAAAGAAGACTGCGCGAGGCGCAAGAATCTGGCACGAGACAAGCGGAGGAAATGCTTCGTGAAAGGCAAAACATAGTATTTCGCAAAGCAATTTCGATACACAACCAGACTGTAGACTCCTATCTACAGGCAATTTTTGAGAAAGCCGGAGCGGCAAACGCACTGGAGGAAGTAAGAAGCATGTGGATGTAGCTATATACACAGGCAGTCGTCTAGCAATCAAACCCAGATGCAAGGTACAGTACTGTCTTTCGGAGGTTATTGAGAGTCCCACGCTGAGAATATCAATAGTATTTCCTGGGTGCGAGTGTTTTTGGCGCTTCGCTGTTTTCAGGCACTGGTGGAGGTATGTACAAATTCTGCTTATCTCGCCGAAACAGTTGATGAACTTCAAGAATACACTGAGAAGGCTGATGCTATTGTTGAGGGTCTTGTGAGGGGATTTCTTATGCCACGGCTTGCAAACCAGTGCCGACTTAGGGAAGTGCAGCTTGAAGCTCACAAGCACCGGGTGGCATCTCGCGCTGCAGTAGAAGAGATTGCTACGAGGGCCTTGTGCTGCCTACCGAATCAACTTCACAATGTACCAGTTGGTGGCTCCACTGAGCTGCAGCCGTCCGGCGACTCCCACTATAACCAGGACAACTCCTGATTGTAGACGCTTCCAATTTCGTCCTTTGGAGATTGCGACCTGTATGACGACTTTCTGGCGGTGCAAACGCACGCATTCATTATTGTACACTTTGGAAGACATGCTGGAGCTCGTTGAGCAAGGCCTAAGACTTCCTACCTCTCCTGAACTTTTCCGCGCCATATGTTTCCCCTCAAAGTCATAAAACCGTGATCGTGCCCTAGATGGCTAGTGGAGTAACGCAAGCCACTTTGCACATGCCTAGCCCTTTGCTGTACTAGTCCCGTGGTGTGACAGAATAACATTCATTGAACTTTTGACTCTAACTCACTTTGCAGTGCGATCAAATTCTACTGATTCATGGGCTGAGGATTTTTGTTGTGTAGCCTCTGCGATTTGTGTTATCTTGACACTCGGTAGAAACATAGTGTATATGACTTTGTGCTGAGCAAGTGAATATGAGTACTGAAACAGCCATGTGAATGTGAATCCCTAGATTCAGTTTATGCTTCTGTTCTGAAAGCTGATAACCATGCGTCGTCCCGTACTCAGAAGCATCTGGCAGCTCTTCATGAGGCAGTTGTGCTTATCAGCTTGTGGGGCACCGTACGTATATCTGGCGTTCAACGTGCTTGATAGAACGAGTGGCCTCCTCCCAAAGTTTTAGACCACGCTTAAAGGTGCCAGTTCACCTTCTCTTAAGGTGGTAAAAGGGCCTGCATGCCCTTTCAACTGCGCAATACCAAGTAAAATAGGTCCCTTCCTTCTAAATGCGATGGGACGGAATGCACACACTCCACGATGTTGCATGTGGCAATTATTGACCGATGCGCGAAACCTACTCGCATCATAGTTATCGCAGTCCGGAGTACCGTCTGTTCATCATGGTTTTTACTTCATCACTTGAGCTGCTATCGCGGGCCTGTCAAATACGTAGTTTCAAGATTCTAGCCATAAATTGGGGGTATTGGGAAATTAGCTTTAGAGCATGCACATCCGTTAGACTATTTGGACGAGTTGGCATTCAGAAATTAGCAAACGAGTTCAGTTGCGTAAAGGATTAGGGGGGACTAATTGCGGCTGAAATCTTCAGTCTCCTTTACGGTTACCATTTTGGCGTTTCTATCCACTCTTTCTATAAAAATGGACTACTGCCCTGAAATTGAGCTAATTCACACCATCTTGGTAGGGCTTTGGTTGAGTTCCTCTTGTTTTCTCTGCAAAAAGAATTGAAGCAGGCTCCATTACCTAGCTGCAGTGCGATGTTCAGTGGAACTGGTATTTTAACAACACAAGCTTGATTTTTCCTCAATTCAATTAAAGGCTTCAAAACCACTACCGGTCGTGTCAGCAAAGAGGCTCAGCATCAGAGGCTGGTTCAGTGCAAGCGCTACACTTTGGGTACTAGCAGCCTGCATCTTCGTAACTCCTGTTCAAATGCATACCACTTTCTTGTGCGTTCTAAATATGCGTGGTTCAGAGAACAAAAAATATAACAACTGCCAAAAGTACATATGAAGGTGCCTGAAGTAAAGCGCAATGTGAAAAAAATTGCTTTGGTCTAGATATGGATATGCTTCGTAATTGGCAGTGTTCCTTAACAAGCCTCTGCTCATCACTCCAGAAGTCGTGAGCAATGTGCGTCTTGTTCCGTTGAGGAAAATATTCGAATTACCGTATAGCAAGCCCTACAACAGTATTGCATGCTGTAGCTTATACGTCAATCGAAATAGGCTGCAGAAGCTCCCGCAGAAATCTACAATCGAGAGTAGGGGCTATATGTGTCAGGCCACGTAGCTAAATCCTCTCAAAACCCTTCAAGGCTTGCAGGAAATAATACAAAGCCTTGTGATGGTCGCATGGCTGCCGTCGCTATGAACGTAGCAATACGGGATTGTTTAAGCGATTTTTCAAGCACTCGTTTGTGAACTCTGTAGTGGCAACTTGGACAACAGTAGCAAAATCTGCTAAATGTTTAAAATGCACTGCTGCCCTTTCCGTTGGGTAATATTGCTAATATTTTCTGAGTCGTGTTTTGCAGCCTGAGATCAAAGTCAGAAGACGCTGGGTTAGCCTTCCACCAGCTTATAAAACAGGTTCATATAAGCGTGTGAGGCAACGACAAAGAGCTAGGCCCACCAGCCCAAAGGTGACTTGTCCAGTATCAATCGAACATCTTGATAAGTTAGAGTTGCGACACCAGAAGTCTGATCTAAGTGTATCTAAATGCAGTCTGGTTACGTTAGGTTGGGTGGTGCTAGTCAGCTAAATGGGTCATGGACGCCAATGCTTTGACAGCTCCAGTTTTGCTGGTTGAATCTACGCTTGATGTTTAGTTATTTGTCCAGCTTAGCCTAGACAGACTCACTTTGCGAGTCCGACCAAGAAGCATGTAATTGCAGATCATCGAAGGACCCACAAATAAGAGCACCGGTGCACGCTCGTTTGCCCAGTGCACGAAATAGTGCAGTCCCAAAGGAGTTCTAAGGGATTGTCTGCACCTTTGTGATTTTTTTGAAAGCAACTGCAGGGCACCAGAAAATCAGTAGGTGGAGTTCAAGGGACAAGTAAACTTATGGACTCATTATCTAGGACCTTCCTCAGCTGTGTTTGAGTACTACCCATGAGGCAGAGGCCCAGCCTCCAGTGCGTGTAATCTGCTAGAAGGTGCTGTCATGACGCATCTCCATCTGGCGTGAATCTCGTTCAAATGAGCTTAGCCTTCTCTCTCTAGACAAAATACACTTTACTGATTTTGGTTTTCTATGACATTAAGATATCAAAGCGCAATTTCACTCCGAGATCGAGGTTTCGTGGCAGCCTGCTCACAAATAATACACATTTTTGTCGAGGTAACTTCATGTTTTCTATCGAAACCGGTAAAGCGCCATCATTCGGCCTTTTGGTACCTATGCTTTATCTGTCAGCCAATAATGTTTAGCATATGGGTTCGTAAAGAACTCTGGGACTTGGCTTGATGCTTACATATCCCATTAGGCAAAGGACACACGCACAGAGAATTCGTAGCAGTATACGAAATACAGAGAAAGTATAGCGAGCTTTAGCACCTCAAAGTATTTATTCTGTCGTTTTCAGCTAATCGGCTAACGTATTCGATACTCTCTTCCATATGTTCGTGTGTAGTGTAGAGGGAGATCCCAGAAACGGCGACCAAACATGTAGTCGGCAAGCAACTACCTTTTGATTCAATTGAACGTGTCTGTCTGCTTTCACCCAGACAATTCGGGATGAAATATTTTCTAATTTAATGCCCTGACGCCAAAATGTGTACCCACGGTTGCACCGAAAATGTAACAGGGCTGGTCAGATTAGCAAAATCCTCTGTAGCGTGTGTACACATAATACGCTTGAGTACCTCCTCTGCCGGACCTTAGTACCAAACTAAGCACACTCCATGAAATTTCGGATAGCTTAAGATATCCATTAAGCTCTTGACTCATGGCTCCAGATACGCGCTGTTCCTTGTCCGATTGTCTAGGATGGCGTAACCCTGCGTCCAAGATTAGCAGACCAAACAACGTCGGCTGTAATGTCCTAACCGGCTAGGCTGATGGACGGCTCTAAGTGCCCAAGGCTATTAGCCCTGGGCCATGCCTAACTGCAACCTTGGCTGGCAGCTTGTACTCTGGGAGACCCTGTTGGATTTGACTGCTATATCAACCGCATCATCTCATTTTTTTTCAAAGCAAACACTACTCTATCTGACAGGGCTAGAAAGACCTTGGGTTAAAGACACCAATTGCTGTGGCACATTTAAAGGCGATTTGAGAATACGGGGGGACTACAAAAGATAAAGAAGTCTTCACTGGTGTCATTCTAATGCTGCATGCTTTTCTGCTCGCTTCTAGCCTTCCAATAACCGGGACTTGCATGGATAAGCAGAAGTGCAATCTTCAGAGCTCCAACAGCATACACATCCAAATAGTATGGCTAACAAGTTAGTATCAAATTACTTTGTGCAGCAGCAACACAGTCGCCTCTGGCCGGGGCCTATTCTGGCATCGTCAGTTACGAGAACATGGGTAGGTCATTGCTATCCTGAAAGTAAATGCACCTGCAGCATTTTCTACTGGCCGACTCACAGTCAATGGACTTGTACATGGTCACGCTGTTGATATGGTGCAGCGTATCGCGGAATCGCGATTGCTTTAGAAGCCAAGATCTTTGATCCCCAAAATTCTCGACGACTAGCGCTCAACATTTTACTCCAGCCGAGGAATTCAACGAAAGCATGCGGCTTGGAGGATCTGCTAGACTGCAGCTTTTGGACGTCAGACCCAGACTGGATGAAACAACTGAGGGCATTAGTTTACGCGATGACTCATCAAAAGTGAGATGCTGGAACGACAAAGTTCCGTACTATCCGTGAGCTCGGCTGCATAAAGCGTGGTCATCTGGAGTCAAGTCCAAGAAATATCTGTGACGCATTAGTCGAGGTAGTCATGCAGCAACTTCTTTCCCCTTGACTGTCATACTGTCGTGATGCTGACAATTTGGGTCTGAAAGCAATATACAAAAGAAGGACGATTACTACACTCCGCAGATACCTCGAACTCACTATTGTGCTTTGTGTTCCGATAGAAAGTGCCTGAAAATGCTCCACACTATCGTCGATCTTGGCATGAGTGCCTCCGTTATATTTGCTCTTTTGTTGCCATCGCCGTAGCACAGCTGCCTGCGTGGCCACACCACATACAGCTTTTGCCCCCGGTCCAGAATTACAGGCTACACCGATTTATGCGTTAGAGTGCATTTTAATGCACTCATGGGTAAGATCACCTTTTGTTGCATTGCTCGCTGTGTGGATACTAGCGCAGTGTGCAGCTGTCCTCCGCTTTGTTGCATCGGATTTATTCTGCTCCGCAAGCTGCTTCTTCTTTTCCAGTAATCAGCAAGCTCTGGAATATGGATGGTGCCATGCTGCTGACAAGCGGCTAGCCTGTCAGCTTTAGTGACTCCAGGCGACCGATTCGAGGCACATGACTAAGGACTAGCTCTGCAGCATCAACGCAGACTGCACCGCAAGCACATGCAGCACACTTTGCGACTTTATTACACAAAGAGCGATGAGTCACTGTCCACTCAACGTTTCAAGTAAGTGTTCATATGGTGCCTTAAAACAGGACAATCTGTTCTTGTAAGAATCCTTGGAGGGGTAAAGGGAGACAAAGAAAGCGATTTATGACTGGCACCGAAATGAGTGCGAAGAACTGTGAAGTAAGAGGAAGGACCAAGCCTTGTTCTTCCTTGCTTTATATTCGACAGGGCAGGCCCTGTGTCCTGCAGACAAGCCCATGTGGCCAACAAAGCCAAAGAGCTGCGAAACGCTTCTTTGTGTGAAGCACTGTGTCAAACAAGTCTGGTTTCAACAGTCCATGATGTGGATCCAGAGCCTCGGATATCCAAGGCCACCGGTTAGCGTAGCCGTATAGCCCTGTCCAGACTACTTTGTTAAACATGCAGCTAACGTGCAGGACAGCCACATGCTCAGTTGAGTGCATGCGGATGTCAACCAAATATTCATTGGTGGAAGCTCTGTACAACCAGGCCGGCAGATTGCTGGCGTGCTTGACATCTGTATATTGCCACACCTCTGATACCAGAAGACCTTCTAGATACACAATACGACCGACTCCCCTAGTATCTATGCTCAATGTTGCAGTGTCTCTAGTATGTAGCAAAGAGTCAACGCTAAGATGGCATCCTTTTCCAAAGCATATATGCTAGGTGTATGATTCCAGGACATAGAGCTATGTTGTATTGTGGAGCATGTGCAGAGTAAGAGGAAAGGAAGCACCACAAGGCTACGAGGATGCTATGATTTCCTCGAAAAAAGGCACCAAGTTCGCCAAATGAAGATGTCTTACAAACCTAGCATCTGTAGATGGGAAGCTCTGGAGAAGGTTAGGGGGTGATTTTCAGTTCTCCTTGATATGTGCACTGTTACGGTAATCCTGCGAAGGGCGCAACCCTAAGAATTCACGTGGGTGCTTGATGTACTCACCAGTATCTTAATACATGGATGCACACCCACCAGATAAACAAATCTATTTTTGTAATCCGACAACTTGTTAGATGGATGAACGTGGAAGCTAGGCAGCCGTTGGCGTTTGGATCGTTTGGACTTGCAAGTAGACTCTTTGAGCTCGCTGTGCTCTAGAAACTATACGATTTTTCACAGGCTGCTATTGCGAGCTTAATTTTTATTTAGTTGGCACTACATTCACCAGCCAATGTGAAAGGGTATCGCAGCCGGAGGTAAGTGGGCACTACTGTTTCTGGTGGTAGAATCATCCACTGCACCGTCAAGAGGTCAGCCCATACCGTTCAGCCCATTTTCGCACTTTCGGCCCGCACAAGCGTCTTCCGTAAATTTCGGGGGCTCATCAAGCGTAGACAACAAGAATATAGGCTGAAATTGTGCTAATAATATATAGACCACTCCGTAAGAGCTTAAAACCCTTGCCATAACTCAGGCTAAGAAGAAAACCTTCAGGCAGTTCCAGCTGGCTGACTGCTCAGCTTCGCGTGGGAATATCGGATATAAAAAGGCTACAGGAGACCTCCGTAAGCAGATGTTTGTCGATAATCGGGGAGTTCCGGCCCTGTCTTGGGAACATTTTCCATGCGCAAGGTTTTACATCACACGAACAACCGTCTACCGATGAGCTTAACGGTGAGGCTGGAAGATGTAAGCGAAAATTCCGACAGAAGGGAAGTCACCAGCTCGTCATGATCTAGAAGCTCTCTGCTCGCAGTAGTTTGCTCTGGGTCAAAAGCATGTCAGCAAATCTTACCCAACCGTGTGTTACCTGGGCTGCCCCAATAGGTTTTGTCAAAGCCTCTAAAGCAGCCCTCCAGCGGACTTAATCTAGTTCGATCTCCAATATGTGTTTGCACAAAGTAAATCTTTCATGGGACTGTGCACAATCTGTTATTTGGCGAAGTAGTACGTAAGCACCTTGTGGTTTAATTGGAGATTTGCACTGCGGTGTTCTTTGATAAGCTCTGCGCCACAATGCCGCAAAGTAACGAAGTGGAAGCTATCAGCTTCAGCCTGTATACTAGTAAGCTAAGGCGTTATTGTGTAGTTTCGCATCTTAGTGAAACATATAAAATAGCCAAAGACCCTATGCATGAAGTCAAAACATCTGTGCAACGAAAGAGCACATCATGCATCCATAGCCTTTTATGGCATTAAGGACTAGGCACGCGGCTCATCAAAGCGCTTCGAAAGTAAGTACTGTGTTCGTTTGCAATCCTGGCATCCTCGAACGTCAGGGCTAAGGACGGAGGGAGACTTCTGGAAGAGAAGTGTTCCATTAAAGAACTACCTTGCTGGTCATTTTTTAAAAGCAACCTCCTCTTTATCCAGAACATGATCAAGTTCAGCGTAGAGGTGAAGCTAATAATGCCATTAGTAAATGGGGAAGTTTAAAGCTCGTGCATTTTACTCCCGGAAAACGAGAACGGGAATTGGTGAGAATGCAATTCGCATATTCTGTTCGCGTAAGGGAATGCCTGGAGAGGTTAATCAGGCAAGACAGATAAATTATTGCCCATGATTTGAAAGCATAAGTAAAGATCTTGGAAAAGTTGCCAGCAGCTGAGGTAACGGGTGATATTGTACTACGGGCCACTTGTATTTTTTCAAACACCACATTCCCTAGAGTCTCGAGTAAGGGTACCGAGCTAGCGGCTAAAGAGACAACTTCATAGGTGGTATCCACAGACTGCGTGCGAGATTATCAGAGGAGCGCGGTGCTCAGGTGAAAGTGGCAGTGAAGTTCGGCTCATGACTTAAGCTTTGTGAAGGTTTTGAGAGCTTACAGACGCCTTAAGGCCTAGGAATGAACCTCTACGAGACATGTTGCGCCCTAAATTACATTTTTTGGATATTTGAAGTGCTAACGTAAACCTTGGCCACTATGTGCGCGAGTCTCCGAATCACCGTTTTCAGTAAGCAAGGGCCATCACACAACCCAAACAGGCCAGATTTTGCTTCTCTCGCTCATTGGAGTCGCATATGACCCTGAAGGATTAACTGTCAAAGCTGGCTATAAACTGGCAAAGCAAGTGCACATTTACCCGACATATTCACTGCAGCATCTGCAGGTCATCCAGGGGGCAGGCATTTGAACACCCTCTGGATAGTGCACGACTTAAAACTATTGATGGAAACTTAGGTCGGCGGTTCTGGAAGTGTGGTCATACAATGGCATGTATCCTCGGGTAAAGGCAGCTATAATTAGTGAAAAAGATAGCTGACATTGTACATTTGTTAATACGACTAACGCACGCCAGACGCATGCGATGCAATATTTGGGAAATATAGATTGTGGCTAGCTGCAGCGGGCCCGAGTACTGGCAGTGACAATACTGTGTGATATACCAGCGATCACTGCATGCTAAAAGACTGAGTAACTGGAACAATACCCAAGGCACCGGGCTTTGGCTGGAACGAGGTATGTCCATGCATGATTCCCTTCCTTTTAGGTCGTCACGACTACTCCATTTTTTCCGTGACATCCATTGACGAAAATGTTCTGCATAATAATCCGACTTCGTTCGTCATGTGTGTAACGGCTGGCAATTATGAGTTGCATTGATATGTGATGGTAGTGCTTGTTGGTCATCAATACTGAGGATGCTGCGAGCATAATGCCTTGAACCAGATGCCTCGCTCTCCGCAGCTATACATTCATTGTCCTCGCATTTCACCGCCTTCCTAAGACCACCTACATTAACTGTTGGGCGCATATTGCCAAATCTACTGGATCGCCACTCGTCGAAAGAAAGAACAGTCTTGGTCGGTTGATGCTGCATGAACCCCGTCTCGTCAAACGAGAACTGTGTGACCTCGGATGGACAACAGGACTCTGAAAACTCCAGGGTAAGCGGCACGCTGTATAGTTGTTCATCTATCGTCCCGTCTGGATATCTGCAGGATACACATCTTCGAGGATTCGCTAGTCAGTGTTCCTTAACTGCGGCGATTCGCAAGTAGTTTACGCTGTCCTACAGAGCAAACTACTCATCGGGTAGTAACAAATATCTGACAGTGGAACAGCAGATGATAGAGTGCTACAGAGAACTAAGGCCACTGTTTTAAAGCTGTTCCCCATGGCCCGATTTCTGTTAATCTCCGTCAATAACTATTCGCGTTAATGTTGCTTGCAGCTTCAGTGCTCTGAATGGCCGGACCTCAAGAAGTGTCTGTAGATGGCCTGCTGCTTTGTCACTGGGTGCACCGTGAAGATTGCTACATAGGTTGTCACAAGATCCTCAGGTTGGTTCCATACGTGTTTCCATGGGTAGGCATTGCTTCTTTGCGCTGTATGGATGGATGAACACCATTCAAAGGATCACTAAGCTAATGGTACACGGTCTTTGATGGCCCAGCGCTGGACTATGTATGATAAACCCCACATGTTATTTTGCTTAAATGTGGTTTCCCCATGTGCGGTAGTCGAAAAGAATGTAAAAAACATATATGCGTAAAGACAATATGTTGCACCAGCATCGAATATAAGCAGTGCCCTACTCATAGCAGTTGCAGGGCAGGCGACCTGCTGCTTCTTCATACAATCCACCAATGCAAGTCTACCCTGTCCTGCTTACTGGCGTTCACCCTTCTGTGGCTAGATTTGCTTGCCTCGAAGCTGCGTAACTTGAACTCGACGGCTTTCTCCATCAAGGCCAATGAACTGCTTAGCATTGTAGCAACAAGCTTTCATATACTGCTCGGACACTTGCGTGTCACGGGGGAATCGGAATGCTGACGATTCAGCAGTCAGTCTTCGATGCGAGTCCAGAATGCGCCCGTTGTGGTGTATTGCTACTGCATAGTAGTAGAAAAGCTTCAGGATAATGTGAGCAGACAGCAATATGCAGGATAAATTAGGTGTTAGGCGGGATTTAGATGGACAGGACTCGTTATTAGCCGCTAGCTGTTCTTTCGGAAGTTACCCCATCCACCACCAGGGTGTATAACTCAGCTAGGCTGCATTGATTTAGTCCTCCCATGCAAGGCATCAAATATGGAGAGCACCTTTAGCTGTGGTTTGCTCACCATGGAACTAATGGCAACAAAGCTTATATCCATTATGACCGTTAGGGCGACCCCTAGAGCTCCAAAACCAGTCTCTCGCTTAAAGCAATTATGCAGTGCAAACGTCACACCCGCCGATTCTCCCCCAAATCCCTCTATAAGCGCCAGAAGAACGGGTAACAGCGAAATCCAAACTCCCAAAGGCGCCATGAAACGATAAGCTGCGAACAGAAACCCATATGTAACGGAGAACCCGCTTGGTGTCATTTCCTTCAGTGCTAGAGTTCGCCTGAGACAACTGGTTGTGCTGTGATAAAGACGCATCAGCGTTTACTTTCGAAATACCTGCATTCGGTAATCGTCCGATAAGGCAGTGTGCCGATCTGGCCACAGTGCAGAGCACTGCAAATACGAGTAGGGCAGTCAGGAAGCCACTTCCGGCGTACACCACTGCAGCTCCTAACGAGAGCAATTCCTGCAAAAAAATGACGGATTCGCACACTAACACTCTGTCGCAAAAGCGTTGCAGTGGTCAAGAAGGATTATGATACAGGGAAAACCATAGAAATATTCTCTCAGCGGGCGCCATGTCGTCGCTTTCTCTGGTCGAACACTGCGCCGAGCAGAGAATACGAGATGGCTGCTTGCTTGCACAGCTAAATAAGCATTTCTAGCATTTTCAGAGTGGTACTATAGCTCCTCACAGCTGCTATTTTGCGTAATGATTTTCCTATAGGTCAAAGACAACAATACGAGCACTAGCTCGGATCATATACTTCACAGACTTTGTTGGACTAGTTGGAGCCTTACCAATCTCCATCAAAACTTCAGTAGTGTTCCAGCCACCACTTTTGTTGGAACCCACCTGGACGTAACCCAACCGGATATAGAGGCCGCTTATCTCGGCGCTGTACACCGGAATTCCACAAGCTTTCAGGAAAATCCACGAACCAAACAAAGCGATGAAGACGGCAAACCACAACGCTCCAAGGGCAAACAACAAAGCCGCGCCCGCTAAACCTGAATGCACAAGCCAGGAATAGTAATTGCAAAATCCTGTTTAAGCGCATCGAAGGACCGATTCTGCACTTCAGCTTTTAGACCTTATCTCACTTATCTCTTTCATATCGGAAGATATGCAGTATTCTTCAAGGAGGTCGCTGCAAATATGCCGCAGCTTTCGTCGTGTTACCCCTTTATGAAGTAATGTTTGCTCAGTTATTACTGCAAAAATCATTCCAGAAGGCACTCCGCTCTTGGTCCACTCCTAGGCACATCTTTCCGTGTATCGCAATAGACAAGCTCTCGTAATGCTATACTTTAGCTCAGGACTATCCCACCTGAATACTGGAATGAGGCGAGATCCCGCTCCGTTGCCCTGGAGAATGGTTGCATTCCATAATTCAGTGCACGGCGACGGGCTTGCCTTTCTTCGTCGAGAGTATCTTGTCCTGTCACGCACCGATGTTGCACTGGCATACGAGAGCTTCATAGTGCTTCTAGTAAGCCTATCAGTGAGGGGTGCTTTGCAACGGGCAAGGTGATGGTCCCCTTTAGCAAAAATTAGGTCCGATCACGAAACCGCGTCTAGAGAGCCACTAGAATCGGGGATTCCAAGTACCGTTGATATCTATTTTTTTTTGCATGTTTCGCACGATGAGCTGAGCAGACAAGCTCGCTGAATTGGGTCGCACAGGAGCACAATCACACCCTGACCAATCCCACTCCAAAATGTTGTCCGAAGGGGTCGACATGCATACGGAGATGGCATAGGAGCGAAACGCAATTTGCTGTAGATGTTCTTCTATACCAAGAGGCTAATTTTACCTGTGTTGCTGCGACTGCTATTATGGGCGGTGTGACTGCTGCGGCTGCTACGGAGAGAAAAGGCATGATGGGATTCCCTTGGGAGGGGCAATTCGTCTGGGATATTCAGCATCCGTCCCGTATACTGAAGGGGCACCTCAAACTCGTGGAAGCCGTCTACTTCTTTAGGTATTCGTACAACACGAAAATATAGGTTGCAAAGCCATCTCTCGAATCGAGTACGAAGCATGTCCTCTATGTCCATAAAGCGCTGGATTGAAGTGTCCACTTCACCCAAAAACAGGGGCACCTGCCAGCACACAACTAAAGGCGCCATGCTAGCGTATCTATAGTTAGGCAGGACTTCTTGGCATGCTAGCACTCCACCTTGAGCAGTTGCAAGTAAATCAAGGAAAAGGCCTCTCTGAATTCCGGCACTGGCATGTCTGAACTATCCGATGCACCTTGAAGCAGCCTTCTACTACGCGCCATTCGGCACTGACCAAAGGAAATGCCCCCCAAGCCACTACCTGAGCAGCAGAGATTCTCAACAACCCAAAATCTTCCGCTAGAAGCGGCATATACATAAAGTGTAGGGCAGCTGCCTGCTTCTTTCCGTAACTTGCTTGCAGCCGCACAAATTCATGTAGACACAATCAAGCGTCGCTCGTCCATGCACGTGAGTGCTGGGGTCGAAATTTAAAATCGAACAAGCTTAAATCAGTGTAAATCCACCTCGCCGAGCAGAACTGTATGAATGGCATGGCAGGGCCTCTACTTCGCATCTCCAGGAGATATCGCAGTGCACTGTTGGTCACAAGGTACGGCAATTCGAAAAATAATACATAGTGCTCCTTCTGCGCACCTTATCTACGGGTGACACTGCTCCGCGAAGTAGATATAGCTGAAATATCAAGCACATGGACGGTTTAATGTCGGCCTCAGATGGACAATTCAAATAAAGCGTTTCATCGAACCTGTACGCAGGCTCCATCAAACGCCGGAAGCTTGTAGCAACTCAATTATATCCCGTTCAAAGCCATTCGCGAGCTCATTTCCATCAGCTGCTCAAGGCTGTCCATCCGTTTTTCATTTACTCGAGCATGTCTCTATCGCATATCTTTTTTCCTCTGTGCTAGTCCTCTGCATTGTAAGAGGATCCGACAGAATTTAGGAGCAGTGTCGATATCCCATGGCACACGCATAATAATGCCTTCCTACTTCCGAAGTGGCGTGTACTTGTGTCTTGTCCCGTGGATTTTTCTTCAAGATGAGTGAATCGTGAGCGATATTGGACTGATTGTTGTTTGTCATCTATACTATGAAACCTTATTTGGTGAAACGTAAGGCCTTCGTGATCATCATTGTAAAAATATCTTGACTATTCAGTTAAGTGAGTGCATTGTGCAGCACCTATCTTTTGTGGCTCGACACACAATGTATTGCATACTGACCTGAGGCATTCACTGAAATACATTGCAGCAAAAGCCACAGGTGCAGAAACAGCGCAAGGGCTAGTAGCTAAGATGTCCTTGGCACCTCCGGTAGTGCTCAGATCTGCTCCGTCATTTTGCTGGCCTGCCTCCAAGGAGGACGCATACTGGTTGAGGTAGGTCCAAGTCAGCTTGTGGCCTCCTAACGCCAGAAACCACTACACATACGAAGCTTACATTTTCTGCCTGCCTGTTGGTATCGAAGAGTTCGTAACGTGTTTGAGTGCCTTTCTTCTACATCTCGCCAGTGAAACGTTTAAGTGGAGCTTGGTACTGATGCAAATTGACACCTACGGAAGGGACACAGTTCCTCACCCAATCGGTTCCATACCGAAACCATCATCACGTAGTGCCCTCTTGGAATATCATCTTTCACGGCGCGACACAGATCAAGGCGTATGCGCAGTGCTTGTGGCATTAGCTTCCAATTCGGACCATCAATGCCACCTTCAGCGACAAAGGAAGCCATTACCATTCAACTAACTAGAATTGCTCGGATACCCGTTAACACCTTGAATGGTTGCTTTGCATGTACGATGAAATTCGATCATAAAATAAAGTCCGTTTGCCTTACGTTGAATGCCAATGGCTTGTCTGGCTGCACTAGGGATCTTAGCCCTTAAAGAGTAATTTGTTGCATGAAAGTCTCGCTTCAAGAAACCATAGGAGCCTAGTAGTTCAAGTCGGCGGTATTGCAGAACTGCTTCCAGCCGTATTTGAAATGATTGTAGCGCACATTCCATTTTTTCCTGCAGCATTGAAAGCCTTCTTACTCTCAACAGCACACCTCTGGCAGTAGCACTTTTCAGAATGCCCTGTATGGGGCATTGCTAATGCAACCAGGGAAAGATACATTCTTAATAGCAGCGCTACGCCAGCACCTTTCACAACTATACGAACGGCGTATGAATCACCACCTGACGCAACGCGCCACTCCTCTCCATACGGTGAAGCTCACCCTTCTATCGTTGTGCTCATGCTGAGCATGCTTCCTTGATGATTTGAAAAGCTCAAGTTTCTCCTTTATTTGTTGCATTATCCTATTGTGTATGGCTTGCGCGTTCTGGCAGAGTCTTTTCCTCTGAGACTGCAAGCGTTCTTCTTTTTGCGCTTTCCCTCCTCCATCGTCTACAGCCAAGTGGCTCCTGTCCTCCACCGCACCTTTTTGGTACTCAACTACCACTTCTTCACTCGTTAGAGCCACCTATGAATTATGAAATATGCCACTTCAAGCTCTTTGTTTTACATAATTAATCGACCATGTACTAAGTTCCATGTCTAACACAATAAAGAGGAAGGCGCATTTCGTAGGGCACGTGGCGGACTTACTTGAAACCCCTGAAGAGCCTTTTCAGTTGTAATATTTTGCCGAATAATTGCAACAGTTCTAAGGGAATCAATGCAGTGTAGTTTATTGGCGCGTTCTTCTGCGACGTTTAAAGCACAACTGACAGTGGAGACGAGTAGCTGGACAAATGTGTGCTGTACTACCGGTTCCAGAGCCACCACTCGATACAGCGATTGGTGTTATTAGCTGAACTACAGCAAATCGATATCGAGGTGAGCTCGACTTCATCCTAAGTAGCGATACGCTCGAAGGCTTCGAACTGAAAGGCATCATCTTCGAGTAGAAAGCACTGTTCAAGCTCATCAAGCTCTTTATCGTCACTTTGTGCTCTAGACAAAGAAGGAACTCTTCCTCTCTGCACTCCCCCACACATCCCTGATTCTAAAGGGAACATCAAATTTTTTGTACGTTTTGTATGAATAAAATCTACGTAGCATAAGGATAGGCCTAAAAGCTTGATGGATTGAGCGCACCTGCATTGCAAAAAGGCTCTGGAGCGCTGTGGCTGTTTTACTGTCAAAGAGCTCTGTGCTTCTTCTCGCGCTCGAATGCACCCCTCCGGATAGTGTTGCTACTTTAGCATGCCCCTGCAGAGCCATGGAAGCCATTTCAGTATCCGCATGCCTTGGGATCTTGATTGGGAGGCTGCGACGGTGGACACCGAGCTCTTCGTTTGCTTGAAGGTCCATCTCTAAATCGCCTATGTATGCCTGAATTCGCTGTTGTTCCAGTGGGTATTCGGTCGCCGCTTTATATTTTGTGAGTTGCACGCAATTATGGTCTTGAAGGTTCTTATGTTGCACAACATCCTGTTGTTCGGAGTGCAGTAGAAACTGGGGCTGCAGACATGATTCCGCCGGTTGTACATGATTTTGTGTTTCTTGCAAGCCGCTTTGGGTACTGAACTTCTCTTGACGCGAATGGCCAATAAAAGCTTGCTTTTCTCTTTCGCATTTCTCTTTCTTGGGCTGGGGTTTCTGTTGGGAGCTGCCTGAGTTGTGCGAAATTCCCTGTTGAGCTCCTTGTAATGCTTGCACCTGCTCCATCTGCTGCTCATAGGTCCTCACCTGCCCAGCGTCTTCTGGTACTTTACATTGTCGCTGGACAGCTATATCATTTCCAGCAGCTCTTTGTAAAACTGTGTCTTCACCCTTGGATAGATGCGCTTCATGAGTATCCTGCTTGTTTTGCTGTTCTTCGAAGGCTGTTTGCCTCTCAGGAGACGCCCCTTCACTATCATGGCTTCCGGAGTTTTGGGCTTCCTCTGAAGCCTGTTCTTGAGTTTGATCACACCGCCCCTCCTTAGCATGTATCTCCTTGTCCTCTTGGGCACAGACTCCCTTTAGTTGCAGTGGCAGTTCGATGGCTGATATCTCCTGATGTACGTCATGGGTCTGTTGCGTTTGCAGAGGCCATTCCCCCTCATGGTCTTCTTGCCCATCTTCCAGGCAAACGTGTCGATTTCCTGACGGCATCTCCCCTGAACCGTTATCGTCTAATGATTTATTTTCATTGTGCAGTCCTGGTTGCGTTAACTCATTTGTAACATGCCTGCTTGTTTCAGAAGGCCCTCGTTTCTCCTACCCATAAAAACACGCCACAAGCATATCTTCGACTGTTCAGCTATTTTCACAGACTGGCACATGTAACTTTGCATGCATTTGTTGCGGACAGCCCTTATTATTTATCATAGCAGGTGGACCTGCCGAAGCAAAGGATGGTGGCAGCGGCAAGCAGCCTGCGGTTTGTAGAATGTACATGCCGTGTGCTTCGACTCTTAGCATCGGAGCACTTCGTAAGGCCTTCCGGATCTCTACCCGTGGGATCCATTCCCACTTTATTTGGTTTAGAGAGGAAAAAGACACGAACTAACTGTCCGTTGTTGCAGCCTCTAAATCTCCTCCAAACCTCTGTAGGTCAACCTTGATAAAGCGGGAACGCTGAAAGCCCCTGTTATCCGGCGCTGTTGGTGATACGCTCGAGGTAAAATTTCTGGCTTCCTACCACCACCGGCAAACGGAAAATGCGAGGAGCGCCTAACTCACACTATTGCTAAGGGTGGCCTTCGCCGAGGTTGATGAAAATGCATATAAGGCAGAGCCCAGAAAATTTATTGATCCTCAGGCAGAGCCCAGAGAATTTATTGAATCACAGGCAGAGCCCAGAAAATTTATTGATTCTCAAGCAGACCCCAGGGGGACGTGCAAAGACGAGCAGTTGTCTGCGTCCGTGCTACACCCACCAAGTGACCCCGACAGCCAGAGGTACATCCATTCCATATGGACTAGGAAAGGAACAGTAACACTACGCTAGTTCGCATATGAAATCAAACTGCACACATGTATCATATCAAGGCCAAAATAAGCATAGTTTCTTCTTGGAGAATAAGCTGCCCAGCCTAATTAAGGATGCGTAATACCTCTGCATACGCAAATTAACAAATTAACAAATACGGTGCTACCGAGAAAATGTGCATGCCACTGCCATGTAATCAAGTAACAATTTCAAGCATATTATATTTGTTTTGCCTCAATGTTCACGCAGCAAGCGCACTACGAAACAGGGAGACAGCAGCCAGCGCCTCTTCCGCACGGCACCTCAAGGATCATTCCATCAAATATAAGGCAATGGAACATATAAAGCGTATTAAATTGGCAAATTTCTCTCTGCATGCGTTGATATAGACCGTTTGCTCATCTCAGCAGGTGGAACCTAATAGGAGGAAGCAAGGTAGTTGCTCTTTGTTGGTTCCTGCAGCACCGCGACCTCAACCTCTGTACAGTAGTCACTCACCGTTTGCCATGGATACCCTCTCACTTCCTCAGCATTCAGCATAGCTATTCAGTCCTTATAGCTCGAAAGAAAATAGCAGCCTAGACGTCGCTGTTGGTTTAAGGGGGGTTATCAAGTGGAAATGCAACTCTGGACTGAGCCCATATTAAGATTGGGACTATCCCACTTTGTTCTCCCTTCTAAAAGACTCTATTCAGAATCACGATGCACTGAATAAGGATTTGTAGCTGAAGGCACCTTCAGGGTCAGATTGTTGCAGAACCAAGACACCATATGAGGGACCTTGGCCAGGGGCTGCGAAGGTCAGTGCAGCAGCTACACACCTACCACTAAACCATCGGCAACCTGGAGTTAGCACCAAAAGTATAATAGCGTAATTCTTACAATGCTCGGATCACTCGTGGGGCGCGGCTGTACTTCGTTCTTCTTTCTTCCTCAAAATGTTCGCTTAGTTGAATGGTTCAAGCCAGTTTTGGAATTGCCACATACGCTTCGAGCAAATGTGTTAACTACTTGTAAGAATAGACAGCAATCGATTATCCATTGTTGAATGGCACGGCTGCATATATTCAGCTAGTGTAGGGTTAAAAAGCTTCTTTCAAGCGCTCTGAATCTCAATCTAGCGTGTGTGTTGCTCCACCTGAGCCCTCTGAGCCTGTAACCAAGCGATATCAGGGGCTCTCCGTAAGAGTCTTGAGCCAAGCGACGTCCTCAAATGCGACAGCGTCTTGAGTCTCTTTGAGCCGCCTATTGATGGCCATGAATTATTGCGGTTTTATTACAGCCTATGCTCGGTGCTGAGAAGCCATTTGACTTCGTAGATGCCAAGCGGCTGCAGCAGTGTAGTGACGCCGTTTTAGAGGATTGGTGCCTTCTCTAGGTCGAGTTTCCCTGCTCGCACTGGTTGCGCTCATTAGTGGCATAGTATGGCTAGCATTGTTCGCATCACAATACTGGTCTTACTGTACGCCGTTGTTGGCAGGTTAATGAATACCCAGCTCAGTGCTGCTGGCAGCTGCACGGGCGTAATTTGATTTTACGCGTGCTTCGCAGGCTGCTTTATCCTACTCCAATTCTGACTGAAATCCAGCGGAATTCCAGGTGACACAAGTTTTTCTTGGGTCATGCAAACGATTATTGCTTAACACAGGGTTGCACTATATAAAAGTAATCCCGCTTAAGCTCGAATCTTAGAGTGAAGAAAGACAAGTAGAACGCTACATTTCATGAGGACAGTTCCGGACTTTTAACCTGATCCTAGGGCTTCCACTTGAGCTCGATATGCATCCTTTGGCCCGTAGCATCTAATACGTTTTGAGTGCTCCACAAACCATCACTGGCCTTAATGAAAATGTGGCTTACCGCAATCATTTAGAAACGCTCAGAGCATTTGCACACCTCTAGCGCGCTAAGCGTCTACGATCATGCAGACAGCATCGCTTGTGTAATACAAAGGTGGAAACACCTTAGGTGTTTGGAGGTGACAGCGGCCTGCAAATCGTGGTTACATATTCAAAATCTATTCCTGGTGATAACGTTGCATGAACTCAAGGATTTTTAAATGTCGTTTCAAGCTTCTGCTTGCTAGTTCTTTTGGAACGAGCGTGGGCTGCATCATGCTGACTGTTGTGTGATGTGTACATTTAAGTGCTGACCGGTACACAACATGGCTGAGTAGGAAGCTCTAACGGCCGGCATGCGATTTTGTAGACTATTTAAAAGTGTAGTATAAGTACTAAGCATACAATAGCTTGTTCGGAGTAAAGCACAAAGTGCTGTAGTGGAGTTTCATGTGAGAGGCAAGGTCGCATCCCATTTGCTAGCGCATTCCACAAACCCTAAACAAACATAATCCTGTGGAAGTTTATCTCTAGAGCTTAGGTAATCCCACATAAATTCGGTAATCCTAAGATATGGGGCAGCCATAAAGGTTCGAATACACTTCATTTTTCCCCAGTCAGTGCCCAACGTACTACGACGCAACGCAAGGATAGGTGACGAAGACCTGGGAAGAATGCGCATCAACATAATCTCGGAATTTACGGTGATGTTTCAAGACCGAATTTATATCACTCCTCAACAAGTCCCACCATCGTGTTTCAGCGAATTGTTCCCCCATCTGCGAAGAAGTGCTAGTGATAGGTAACAGGCTGCGGGTGCTACATGAAAAGCAGCAAAGGAATCGACAGTTATTTTTGAGGGCGAATGTGAAGCGAAGATAATGAAATTAGCTAGCACAAGTGTGATTTGTTATGATATACATCCTGATTTCTGAGGTAAAGGTTGCACGCACAATGCAACATAGTCAGTTAGCGTTAAACACGTACTTTCACAAGTGACGTACTCAAGATAAGCTAGTCATGAATTATGCATGAAATGTCGTCAGCAGCTACGGCGCACAACCGCTTCATCTGGGTAAGCTTTGTGCAGCCAGCTCTGCACATGCCATAGAATCTCCAGGCTCATGGCGAAACTTAGTCGAATGACTATCAAGTGGAGGGACAAAGTAAGCTGTTAGGGCGAAACTGTGCTTCGACTTTTTGTTAGACATGAGTCACCTTGTACAACTATGCAATACTCTTCTTGACCAGGCATTAGGGCCACATTGCCCACAGAGAGACCCTTTCTCCAGCTAGTACGCTCAGGTACAACTACGATCTTAAGCAGGAAAGATTAGGAGAAAAAGTTAATCTATCTTATTTGATTTGATCTGAATCTGGTTACAAATGGATAAATTTCGTAAATCCGTTGGCGTTATCCCCTTTTGTGCAATATCTCCGATGTATAGACAAAATTTGATACACTGACTTCTGGTGGCACTGCGTTAGAAGCTTTGCTTCACGACCTCATGCCAGGATCAAATGATCATTATAATGGCACTCATGCCAAGCTTGCATGGCTGCAGACTACCTTTTAAATACAAATCTTTGTTTTGCAGTGGGGCTTGCACCATGGGAATCCCCCGTCGACCACGCTCTACATCGCCGGTAGAACAATACACAAAGGCATACATGCCACACTCCTTTATAGATCATCGAGCCGTGTGCATTGGAAACCTCGTATTTCGCTCTATTTATGGCGAATGCTCTCCTGCTAGTGCGGCTACAAGCCAGGCTCCTGGGGTTAGGCCACTGTTGAGTTCACTTGATGCCTGTTTAAAATCGGCAATATTCGCCTGTGCAGCGCCCTGGCGTATGTTATTGATTGGTCAGAAAGAGGCCTCATTTTCCTTGTCTTGAGGGAGGTCAACAAGAAATGAGGAAGTGCTCCGCCTTTCGTGGTGGATCCATGCATGCTTCTTTGTACTTTCCATCCGGGCCAACTCTCGGAACGCCAGGGCTCGGCACATTTGGCTTTCGTTAGTCTTAGCAGTCCTCCTAGTTCTTTACCTGATGTGGCAGTGCACTGTCCTTCGCATGCGTTTTAGCTGGTGATCATAACATCTGATGAGCTGCAAGTGGCGGTTTCGCCTTTCTTTTATTCGGCAGAAATAGGGCTTTGTTAGGCTCTTGGAGGGGTGACACCGTAGGACAGTGGTGTGGGACTGCACTGGGGCTATAGGGCCATCGAAGCGTCTGCAAAAGGCCAGCGTTATCCACTGGCACTATTTACTACACTACTTACATTCAGCTAAAATTGGGGAAGAACTACCTGCTTGGTTGGCCTCTAAGATCTCTTATTGCAGAGGATCGTTAGGTGGATGGCCCACGATTCAACGTAGCGGGCTGATGCATTTATACAGTTTCCAGTAGGAGTGTTATATCTAACTAGTAACGAAACAACTACTCGGGTTGTTTGGTAGTGTATCTTGTGGAACGGCAGGGTGCTATTCATATCTAAAAGAAAACGCAATGTTGTGGGCGGCTCCGCTAGATATAAAGTGCAACAGGGCACGAATGCTCGGACTGCGTCGGGTGTACCGTTAGGTAAACTCTAGGTGTTCCCCTCGCCCCAAGTCGGGGTACACCAAGCGGAGCATGCAGGAGGAGGGCTCATATCCTATTTAAAAAGCTGACCAACGTTCTATTATGTTCGTA